ACAATACCACCATACACAATTTACACACCATAATCACAATACACCACTACCAATAATAACTATAACAATAATTCATTAACACAATTAGTACACACCATACAATAACTATTAATACTGTTCATAATAATAATCATAACACCTATAATAATAATTATTAATAATAATTTACACAATAATTATTAATAACTATTCACCGCATACCCTATACCCCATACCCTAAACCCTATACTCCTACAACTCCTATACCCGATACTCCCGATACACACACACACACACACCAGTTAAGCCACTTTAGGCACAATGGCAACCTGCATCTTCAGTTCTTTTTCTGCGTTCTTTCTCGAAGCTGGAGGAGCATGCTACCAACACGCATGCGCTGAACGCACAACGTCGCACAGTTGAAGCAGCGCCACACGCGCAAGCGAAGTGGAGTTTTGCTCCAGGCGTTTGACGCCCGCGCTGAAAAAGGACTACGAAAAAGGGCAAAAGCCGAGCCCTTTCCCGGCCAAGGCCCCAGCTGGGCCTTTGAAGCAGGCGGGCGTACGTTTTTGCGCCGGGCGAACAAACGTGCTCAGTCCCGCCAAGGCCGGCTCTTCGGTACGACGCCCGGTGAATTGTCATAGACCCCATTGAATCGGGCTGAGCAAGGAAACGAGCACATTGACAAAGAGGGCGAACGCCCGCAATTTAGGGGGCCCGACCCACACAAACGCACACACACACACAGAGACACCGACAGGCACACACACAGGCACAGACACATCGACGCAGACGCACACAGACACACACAGAGACACAGAAACACAGAGATGCAGACATGCAGAGACGTAGAGATGCAGAGGCACAGCTATCCGAAAACACAGGGACAAAGGGACACAGACCCGCACACATGGACACAAACACAAAAACCCGGAGACACGCAGACGCAGAGGAACAGAAACACAAAGAAACAGAAACCCAGAGACACAGACACACGCACACACACAGACACAGAGACACAGAGACACACCGACGCAGATACAGATAGACACACAGAGAGACTGAGACAAAGACAGAGACGAAGACGGGGACAGGGACAGGGACAGAGGCAGAGAAAGACAGAAACAGAGACGGAGACAGAGACAGAGACACAAACACACCCACCCACCCGCCCACCCACCCACCCACCCACCCACCCACCCAACCCACCCACCCATCCACCCACCCACCCACCCACCCACGCAGGCAGGCAGGCAGGCAGGCAGGCAGGCAGGCAGGCAGGCAGGCACGCACGCGCACACGCAAAGGCAGACGCAGAGACAGAGACCCACACGCACAAACACACTTACACAGACACACACACACAGGCACACAAACACAGTCACACACACACACACACAGTGTGACAGTGTCTTCGTTGGGCAGTGACTGTCAGCCATGCTCTGTCCCCCTGCGAGCAACACCAGTCCCGGGTACATGAGGGATTCGGCAGACACAAACACATTGGCATACGTTCTGCCCAATTTTGACGCCCCCTAAGGTATCAATGCTGTGGATCCGTACCGTGTGGGGCGCACGGATCTCGAGGCCCAGGACCAACTCTGCGTTCACCTCACTCGTTCGGCTTTTTGTTGGGCGAGTCAGCCCCTGATTAAAACCATGGCTTAAACACATGTTGGCACACCTCCCCTTGGTTTCTTTCGGAGACCAGCCCCAGCTTTCCTCCAAAACACGTAGGGGGAGGGAGGTGAGATCCTGCTGTGGATGGACAGAATCCCTTTCGCACCAGTTGGGAGATCCCCAATACTGGGGAAATCCACCGATCAATGGTGCAGAATTTTGACCTCCTGTCGGTGTCCTTTCCCTTTTTTAGGAGATCAAGGTCTGGTTGTTGAAACACATCTTTGCATGCAGATGTCCAGCCCCAAAACGCCAGGGGCGTTGGGATCCCCTGTGCAACAACCCAAGGGTAGACATGGGTAGACACTTGGCCCAAGGGAAAAGGACATCAAACCCATGTTCTGTGGGTTTGATTGTTAAAGGCTTTGAGCAACCCTGATTGTCCTTCCCTGGCGAAGCTATTGCACTCAGAGCTCCCTTTGGGCTTCCCGACCACGTCCCATTTGCTGTAGCGCCTTGGGAAATAAGAAAGCGGAGCCAGCTGACAGGGGGATGTGCTCTACCATACAAGAACGACGGACCTGTTTTGGAATGCGAAATCATGAGGAACCGTTGCCATACTAGGGACCCAGTTAGGGAACGCCAAAGCCAGCAACACATTCTGAAATTTGATTCTCTGCGCCATTCAGGTTTAATGTCTGCGAAATTATCTAGTTGGCAGGCAAAACAAACTCACATTGCTTCTAGGAACAGGGACCATTTTGTGTTTTTAAGAGACGACTTGCGCCCAAGCATGGTTGACTTCCACAAAAGGAGAACTGCCGAAGTGAAGTCTACCTTGTGATCAAAACATGGACCTCTAAATAGAAACTCGGCACATGCACGACCCTGCGAAGCGTCTCACTATGTCTCGCTCGATCTGGCTGGAGCTTGGCCCCACCAAGATAGCAATCGCAACAATGGCAATCTCTCCTATCCTCCGGCTTGTTTTAAGAACACCTAATTACTCGCGACAGATTAGGAATCTTCTGAATCCCTTTTTGGGCTCCATGTGAATTTGCAGAGGAGTAAACCCCTTTTCAAAGCTCAGCAGCATTCACGTCCTTTCTCCTTCCGGGCGCCCGGCTTTTCCGGGGAATCCGAACTCGAAGAGGACGAGGACTGATCATCTGGAGGGGTGGGCCTTATCTCACCGCTAGTCTGGCAACTCAGCTTTTGCTCCCCCCAAATGATATGTCTCGAGAATGAGCCTTCCATCCTCTTGCCCCCAACGAAAACAGCTCATGGGTTCATTCTGCTCCAACCATAACACGTAAAACCATGTCAACGCAGATGGCGGCAACACGCACGCCGTCAGGCGCTTGTGTTTTGGTTGGTTGGTTTGGGGGGTACCCTCAAAAAGCACATCCTCAAATTAAATGGCCCCTTAGTGGACCTTTCCAAGCAGCACACCATGTCACCATTCAGAGGAGCCCCTGTCACAACAACCGTCGGTTAGCCGCACACCTTCTCGCACAAGGCGGACCTCACATCTGCTTCCGTGTGCTTCCGATAACCAATCACTTTCGCTCATACAGAGGGATTCCGAGTTATCACTTTGTAACTTTGAAGGACATTCCCCGAGGGTACTGGTATGACAGAACATGGTAGCCAAAAACGATTTGCTTCACAGGCATGAAATTCAAAAGGCTCGAGCTCTCGGCTGATGGGATTTTATTTTTTGAGGTGCACGGCTTCGCCAGCTTTGGTGGTCACTGATGACGTGACCGCGCAGGCCATTCATTACATGAGATTGTCCAAAGATCTTCGTATCATCACAACAGATTCACTCCAATCAAGTAGAAACAGTCAAGAACAATACGTTTTGTGCCTCATCCACAACACAAGTCAGTAAATACTTGAAACTTTTTCGGCCGCTTTCTGCCACACACACACACACAGACATTGGAGCTCAGCACCCAACGAACTGGGAGGATGATCCTGCCAAGGGTCGTTGATTCGACAGGCATCACAGGCCAAAAAAGCAAACAAGGCCAATGCCGGACTGTCGAGGGACCCGCACATGGATCGTTTTCTTGTTTCCGCTTTACGCACCACAGCCACCAATTTGAGCCTTCAGCCAGTCCATGTAGCTTTGCGTGACACAAGCCATTTTCAGCGTTTCCATTCCGCTCACCAGCAGCACACTGGTGTGTCTCTTTTAAGGGGACTCCCCAAAATGGCGGTTGTCCTTTCTGTTTCCCCTTGAAACCACAAAGAATGGACACCCTCAAAAGTAAACACACCCACATGTCCATCACTTCCTAAAACAAACCGAATGCCCGGGCCCACGAAAATCTCTCCTCAGTGGAAGCCGAGCCGCAGCGGATGAGGCAAAGCGAGCCTCCAATGCAACTGAGGCCTCCTGATTACCCTATTCTTTTGGACGGTTTGAAGGGAAACGACAAAGCCACCACCCACTCCCCCCCCCCAGATTAATTTTAAAAATGTAAAGTGGCCCTGAAGAAACTGGAAGCTTGGGATATGTGATGTCGCAACCTTTCAGCTGTGCAAGTTTGGGGGAGGAGCCGTGTGCAATCACACGCCGCTATCTGAAACCACGTCGGCCCGCCTCGCAACGCATTTTTCTCGACCAGGTATGCCTGAGCTGAGCTGTGCGTGTCTGTGTGCGTCGGAAGCCCCTCCTCATGGCTTGCTGCAGCAATCAGCACATGCACAGGGACTCAACAATCAAATGCTGCGACGCACAACAACACATTTTTTCTGCAGCCTCCCGGCATCCTCTCCCAGACCTAATCATGCCTAGTCGCTCCCTTGTGCAGCAGGCGCGTGGTGGTGCGCTGAGCCAACTGACACGGGCAGCGCAACTATTCGGCAGCTTCGCAGCTATGATCGCGAATCAGGGATGCTGCCCTTCTGTCAAACAAGTTCTCCCGATCTTGGTCAACGTTCACTTCAAATCTAAACCAAGGATGTATTGGTTGGCTTTCTTTGTTCATCATAGTCAAGGGCCAAAGATGTAAGATGGTGCCGCGCACCTGCTGCAGGAAGCCTTCCGAGCAGCCCTGCAGCATGGGCACTGACGTCATGGCCTGAAGGGAGCGCCAGCTTGGAAGGGGCATTTCGAGTACACGGCAGATTAACATCCAACCCACCATCACTTGTAGAGGACCACCCCGAAAAGGAGCCCTTAGGTGCCCTTTCTTTTGGGTGTCATGTCAGTTTGGAGGGTAGCTTTGACACCTTGCTCCTCTCCCATCCTTTTGTCTAGAAACCACTCATTTCCCCAAGGCGTTGGCAAACTTTCCGCAGAGAAGGATCGATTTTGGGTCTGTCTCAAGAATTGGGGCACCTCACAAATTGGGCGTTTCCCTCAACTCAAAAAGGGTAGCCTCAAAAGAAGGAACTGCAGCCTTTTCAGCCCTACGTTGGATCCCTAAAGCGTTCAAAAGAATCCAGAAGCGCTCAAATGATGTGACTGTTTCCGGAGCCTGCAAGCCGTGCGTGTACCCATTGAGTCTGAGAGCCACAAGCTTAGAGCTCCATTCCTTTGCGGGAGTACCGGGTGCCAGCACTGAACATTCCCCTACCTTCGAAGCTGGCAACTGGCTCATGGCCGCACCAATACATGAAAACTCACCTGGACTCGAAGGCAACAGTTGGCCCTAAACTGCAAACACTCTTTCTGTGTTGTGAGTGGGATCAAGTCATGACAATATCACAGAAAATGGGTCAGACAACCCGGCACCTTCCCGTGTCCTGGCCCCTTTGTTTGCAAAGAATGGGGATAGGAATCCACCTCACCTGGCAAAGAAACCAAATCATTTCCACAGCTTGATGAGGGCAACAAAGCACCACACCCCTTCATTGCTTTTTGGAGCGCCCTGGCCCAAAACAATGCGAAAAGGCGGGTACAACAAAACCAACGTCGCCCGGGGGGTGGGAAACAGCAGTTGGGGGCAGCAACACAAGCCTCGCAAACAAACATCTGTCTGAACTGTTGCAGGGTTGAATTCGGACAAGGCGCGTTGCCATCCAAGGCATCCAGCCACTTGACCTTGGAATACTGGCATCTGGATTCATGCCCAGAAGCTGTAGCCTTGTCACTGCGCCAGCCTCTAAACCTCATGAATGTCGCAGATTGAAGAGAATAGGACACAAAATAGAGTTGTGTGAGAGTCAGACAGTCTTCACGTCTGGCGGCTTCCAGTCTGATCTTTTTGGGCTCAGCGGAAGTTGCCGGAGCTACTTATCTCTGGGTTGTCTGCTTTCCAACATCTTCTGGAGCTCTTGTCGACTTGGGGCAGGCCAAAACAGATGTGAGAGACTTGCTTGCCCGTGATGCTTTGTTTGGTCTCCACATCTGCCACTTCTCGATCAAGAGGTCAACGCTGGGACCATCCACAAATGAACGGGTGAACCACGATCAAAACTCGACCAAAGGCTGGACCAGAGACTATGCAAAATCACAGCCGGATTCTTGCCACGCCCATTCATGATTGGTAAGGCCCCTCCCAACTTTCATCATCCATCTACCCAGATGCTGACCGTGGCTCAATAGGTTCACCCCCCACTCCCCCCCCCAGGTTCTGAGGGCAAACCAAGGAAGCCAACCATTTCGGTGGCCTTCCGCAGAGATTGACAAACAATCCGGAGTCCCAAGAGCCTGAGCTTCCCGGCGGCCAGGTGATCAAAGCGTTGCACCTGGCCAGCCATCCGACCTTTTCGTGGAAGAAACTTGGATTCGAAGAAGGGGAACCCTTTCAAATTGTGCTTTTCTACCAGTGGTTTTGTCAACTGCACATCCCTTCATCCCCAACGTTGACCGTTCGAAACAGATCCGCAGGAAGCAACACCCTGCATATGTCTCCTTCGGCGAGCCTCGGAAGGGAACCGCTTGAGGCATTGAAGGAACACACGGCGATGTAGCACCTGACGCGAGCGAGAGTGCTGTGCCGATTTTTCTTCCGGCACCGTGTATCGAAACACACGGTTCCGACATTTTGCGCATCGGAGGATCGATTGCCTTGGAAGTTTGTAATACGTATGACTATCACTGGTCTTCTCCCTCACAATCCTGACTCAAACCCCAAAGTCACATAAATCAAGCCCTTCGACTTCACTTGCGCCGCCGTTTTTGGGCATGGTAGTCGCCTGGATCAAAGATGTCTCCAGGCAAACCGCAGTAGCGCGCGCTCCTTCCGACCTTGGCAGAAGCACTGCGGACTGAAGGGGCGGGGGTTGTTTTGGCACTCGGGTTCTCGCCAATCCTCACGTTCCACGCCAGCCCAACGACGAAGCCGGGAGCCCCAGTGAAGCAAGGGGTCATTGCGAGAACTGATACTACTGCTGCGCACAGTGCGGGATCACTTTCAACCAGGGGACCCCGCAACCTGGCTTTTTCGGGCCAAGCGATCCAACGGAGGTCTACAAACTGCTGGGTTGGAAAGCCACCCCCTCCAACTGCAGCTGCCGATCCGAGCAGCACTCCAAGCAAGTGCGCCTCCCCAAACGAGGCGCCTTTGGTGTAGGTCACCTGCGCCAGAACTACCCTCTTTGCGGAAGTGGACAAGGTTCCCTATGGTTCCCTTTTAAACACCGACGGGAAACTGACTACCCCTCGCAATGCATCGGGGTTGCGGTAAGCCCGGAGCAAATTGGACCACCTTGTACTTGTACTTCTCTAAGGGTTGTCGGGCCTAATATGGACGACCCGGGGTCCGCATACCCCAAACAGGTGTTTCTTTCTTCTAAAGAAGTCATTTCAAGGCCCATGTAGCTTATTGTAAAAAATGCTTCTAGGTCCCTACCAAAGAGAAACACAATTTAGATTGGCCCCAATAGGTGATGTTCGACCTACCAAAAGATAGGCAACCCCAATGAACATTAGGGTTTTGGAAGACCGTCCTCTTGAAAAGGTTGCCAGAAAAAGAGTACATCCAGACTATCCAAGACAAGCTATGGCAGGCGCCCACCACCTAGAACATCCCTGCGGGGCAATCGCTCGCGCCTGCGAGCCGCCGGAGCTTTCCAAGCACACCATGCCCTTGCACACAATGTAGAAGCAATCGGATTTGTCGCCTTCGCCTGCAAACCCCTCCCTTGTGCTTCACGTGTCTGGTCCAATTGCTTGCACACTCTCAGGAGCCAAGTGGCAAAACAGCGTCTCATCTGAGAAGAAGATCCTGGCAGGGGTATTGCGAATGCAACTTGAGCATTTCTTTCGCCCGAGGTCGGTGAGCCCAGCAGGCCTTCATGGACATTGACCGGGACTGCCATCCCCCAACCATGCGAGGATGTCAGACGCTATGTGCCGCCTTCGGAGGTTGCAATGGGCATCTGTACACCGGGATAACGTTTCCTGGTTGTTTTGGCCAACGTGCTATAGGCTAGTCCCTTTGTCTTCGAGGACAAGCTTGGCATCCCCCAGCAATTCTATTACCACAGGCGTGCAGTCATACATTTTGCCCAGCGGGGTCGCGGAGTTCCATCCCCAAAGCCAAGCGAAAAATTGGCTATGTGCAATACGTGTATAATACATATATATATATATATGCATATGTGCACATTCATAGTCATATGTGCTACTTCCCGAATTTCAGGTCTGTTGGGACACCTCTCCTGGGCTCCAAGTTCTCTTGGACCCAGCGTAGCAGATCGAAGCACGCCCCCGCGAAGAGCGGCACTGTCACCTGAAGCGGCCGGGGAGCCGCACGTGGCTTACGGGACATTCCTGTGACCTCGTGTGGGTGGCCTGTCTCTTTTTCAGGGTGCCCCTTGTTTGGCTGTTGTCAAATGGAAACCAACACCATTTTGGAGGACAAGGATAGCATCAACAAAAAACACGACATGAGCTGGCCTTTTTTTTCTGAGAAGTAGAGCCCAAAGAAGCCAGGAAGAGGTTTTGGGTTTTTGGGGAGCGACCATCGTTCTCCGGGTTGAATTCTGGAAAGGGGCTTGGTGCCCTTAGATTAGTTGGTTTGAACATGTAACTATGATTGAACATGCATCACGGTGGATAGCTGTTTACAAAACTTGGGCCCGTCCCCCTGGCTCTTTGGCGGCCATTTTGGGTTGTTCCTCTCGAACCAATGAAAAATCCCTGGGTTTGAGTCGCTTCGAAGGCAATCAACAAACAGTTCCTGGTCTTGCCACCTGGCAAAGAACACCGACAGAGACCAGGTCTTTGGGGAACAGGTTCAGGCAAGCTTGTCAGCAAACTAGCCATGGGGGCGGGAATCCCACAAGGTGGTCTCTAGGTTGCTTGAGTTATTTGAGCCGCTGGGAGCTTGGAATAATGTGTAGTCTCTGGCAATAGCAAGTCAACAGGTGAGTGCCCAAGACTCCTGGCCGTTTCAGCAAAAGCTTCTCGGTGGAAAGTGACTGTGGGGTCTCCTACTGGAGTGTAAGCCATGGAAGGCCATGATGGCCCTCACCATTCCCAGCCCAATGCAAAGTTCTGCCAGTTCACATGAATTGATGCGGGGGGTTATCCCCTGTCGGCGTGGTGTGCCGCCTTCAAAGGGGATCTGTTGAAGGAGGGTCGGGGCTCGCGGGAAGCAAGACCACCCTGGTATTCGATTGAGCTTCAGACCAGATCGATGGGCGTGACGTCATCTTGCGTAAGCGTTACGCTACCTTGCACGCGCATATTCTGGTGGCCAGTGGTTGCCGCTTGAAAAAGATCTGACGAAAAGTGTAGTTTCAAGGGGTCCCTTGATGTGGCCGAAAGGGCAAATCGGCAACTTCCAATCCTGTTGCACCGCCAGGACGCCTAAATGCGGTGCCTTGGCGCTTTGCCAGCCCTGATTCCGGATGCGGCCCTGTACATCCTAATCCCTTGAAAAAGAGTTGGTATCACAGGTGGTAACCCAAAAAATCAATGCGTTTCCACAACTCTGCTTTAAATCTCTAGCCAGACTCCCGAACTCTACCCCAATTGCCTGGTCCAACTCCACTCCCCAAAACCCCAAATCAGGAAGCTGGGGATCAGGCGGGCTGCGGCTTGTCGAGTTTCATTTTCTGAGCCAGATCCCTTCAGGAAATAAAACGACTCCTGCAGAAACCCTCCTCGCGGGCATGCCGCCTGTGTGGGTAACCATTTGCATGAGATGAGAAAAGAAAACATACCTGACTGGACCTGTCCCCTCCGACTCTGCCGCAGTTCGACATTTCCAGACTAAAATTAAGCAAGAAGCCGACAGCACAATACGAAGAAGCCATACTTCCTCATGCGTATTGCGTCGCAAAGCTTTTGCGAGGCTACGGCTAAGGCAAATACCAACTAGTCATCCCTTCACTTCTCATTGCGGTTGCCTCCTGCTACCGATCATAACTACAAATTTGCTTGCAAACAGGGAAGGTCAGGAAGCGTCACCCCTCCCCGTATTTTAGACCACCAGTGAATTCCCATCTGCCCAAAGCCGCCAAAGAGTCTGTGGCTCCCCTTTGCTAGCCTGTTTACATCATCTTTTGCACCAATTTGGAGAAGGTCGCTTTGGGAAATGTAAGGAGCCCTCCCTTGCACGGAGCACTATCTAAGGCCAAAGCGGATAGACGGCTCCCAGAATAGGGTTTACACCACAAAGATGAAATCATGACAGTCTTGGTTGCAGGAATCGACTCTGGCTCTTAGTTCTCGTTTGGGAATGAGAAAACGCGGTGAACAATCTGTGGTTCACTTCAACACGATCCCCAAGCTAGTTCAAAACAAGGTATTTCCCAATGAGACCCACGGAGCTTGGCTGTTCTTTCTGCTTGAATGTGAGAAGGACGAACCCCTCTTCTTGTGCAGAAATCCTGTTGTTTTGTTGCGCTGGCCAAGTACTTTTCTTGCGTTCAGAAATCCCTTCTTTGGCGGTCTTTGGTGGGTTTGTTCATGAGTGAAACGGGGAGCTATTTGGGCCATATCTAGTTAGCCTTGAAATGTAACATGATTTTAACAGAGATCCCAGCCAAGCTATATAGCCCAGGTGCCCAGCATTTGCTGCACCACAGACTTGCGGTTGGCTTTCGGGGACTGAGGCGACTTGGGCGATGTGGACCCCGACAGAGGGGAATCCTCAGCGCACACGAACGAACGGGCGCACACCTTTACATACATACAGAAGTGGATACATGTAGGCATACATGCATACATACAACATACACAAACGTAAATATATTTAAACAAAAACACTTGCCAGAGAGGAACTGGTGATGCTGCCAAAGCCAAACATGTTACCACAGGAACCAACGAAAGGCTGCAAAAGCCAAGAAGCCACATGCCGAAGAGGAAGTGGGAAAGCATAGGATTCCAAAAGCCAAAGCCAAAACAACCACCAAAAGCCGCAGAAACCAACAAAAAGCCGCAAAAGCCAAGAAGCCACCTGCTGGAGAGGAACTGGGAAAGCAAAGGATGCAAAATGCCGAAGCCAAAAGCCATCAAAAGCTGCATAAGCCCAAGAGAGGAAGTGGGAATGCAGAGGATGTGGAAAGCCAAGAAGCCGAGAAGCCAAGAAGACAAGAAGCCAAAAAACCAAGAAGCCAAAAGCGAGAAACAAAACGCCTTAAACAAATACCCCTGCAAGGAATATTCAACAATGCTAGCAAAGCTGTAAAGTCGACACATGCTGTGTTCATTGTGGGTGTGGGTTCGCAGAAATGGCAAAGATTCGCTTTTAAAGGGAGACCAAGAGGATCCCCACCATTTTGAGGGGTTCCCGCAATAGCAAACACACCCACATGAAACCCAACTTCTGAACCCATCCAATGGTCGGGCCCCGGCGGCTACATTGGAAGATACCCAACCCGGTCCAACAAAGCCCCTCTTAGAAGACAAATTTTAAATGGAGCCTGGGCGCCTCAGTCACGCAACAATTGCAAATGGGAGGCTACCACCAATAACATCATAGTAGTCCAGCATGAGGGATCATCGTGGGGGCTTGCAGCAGAACTCAAGCAGCGTTTCTCCGAAATCCTGATCCCCAATTTCGTAGCCTTGTGGTTTGGTCGTCCTTCGGGCTGTTCCACATGGCGGGTTGGCCAATAATCCATCCCCATTGAAAAACCACTGAAGGGAACCGGGGAACCCTCGCGTAAGGTAAGGGTCTTGCGGATTGCCTTCAGCCCAGCCTGTCAATCGGCCACTTAGCCACGCGGAGCCCCTGACGCCTGGCTCTTGCCCGAGTGGCTGTGCCCGGCAGTGAGCCAGCCACGGTGGTCAGCCTCTCAGGCTCCAGGGATTTCTCGAACCTTCCCCAGGCGATGTATATGTGTACACTGAACACAAATGCCGCCTCAGCACAATGCATACTGTATCACGGCGGATGAATAAACATGTCATTTTGTACGTATGTACACACATGAGTCACAATCAACACCTGGAAAAAAGGGTCCACCTGGTCCCTTACTAAGCTTCACTTACCCGGGTTTTGATTGTGGCTCACATGTACACATTTGTGATTAGAGGGTGCCGCGTGCGCTTGGCTTTGGCAGGGCAAAATTAAGTCAGGGGCTCCTATTTTCATCCACCCGGTTAAGCTGAAAGCTTCCAGTCATGTTATCGGTTGCTCAAATCAGAGGTCGAATGGATGGAGGCTTGGCAGTGAAGAGTTTCTTCTGCCCAGTAAAACACATAAGCCACGGTCGACTCAACATATGCTGGCTACATGTTCTCTCAATGGGATATCTAGTGAGTCCTTCATGGCGCTCTCTGAGAACATGCATGTTTCTGATAATATGGGGATGGGCAAAGTGTAGCGATAGCGCTGTAAGTTCAAACAGGGCCCTGAGTCTGCTTGCGACCTCGACGCCCATACTTTGAACGTGTCACACATGCCAACCCTTTGCACATGAGCGCCCTTCAGGCAGCTCAACCAGATTTGGAATGCCGTTGGCGGCTCGACCGACTTCGGCGACCGCGAGCGCCTGGAAACTTGCATGGCCGTCAGAGCAGCCAGGATCCGCTTCATGGAGGGGTAGTGGTCCTTGTTCGAGATCACTCACACCAGCCATGCCAAGCAAAACATTGCAAATCTTTCAGGTGAGGCAGAAGCAAACTGAAAACCAGGTGTTGAAGATGCAAAGGATGGAACAAGTCGCCTGTTTATGGCTTGGACTTTCCCGAGTTAACCGTGTCCTCCGTGGGGCTCCGGTGTCATTTGCGCCGCCTTTGCATCGAGCCCCCAAATGGTTCCCCTGTTTTGACCCACGTCAAAAATTGGCGTTGTAGCAAAGCTGCAACAAACAAGCCCCACGTAGGCAACTAAGACACGTTATTGAGGAAGGTACTACACAAGTGTTAACCAGGCAACATCTGACAGCTAACCATATAAACACTGGGATCATCCACATTAGCGAGATAAGCTTTTCAGCTGGCTTTGGGGCGATGCAAGAGCGACATTACAATCATTCTTCTGGCATGAGGTACAGCAAATTTCATGAACTCCACCACCCCCCATTCCCCTTATTTTCCAGACGCCCAGTGGCCATGGGGACGAAAGGACACTTGCTTTTTGGCAGCTGATTTTAAGTGGTTTCCCCCCCTCCACTGGGAATCGGTGCAGGCATGTTTTGCCGGCTTTGACTCAAAATAGGAATTGGACTCCAAAAGCCCGTCAGCTTCCCTTTCCTCAAAACAAACAAATGGAGCCTCCCGAAACTGTGTACCCCAAAAATCGAGCATCCTACCCGCCCAAAAATGGACTGAACCTTGCGCGCCCGCGCCCGCCGAGGCGCCAAGGAGGTCATCAGCACCTCCCGCGGCAGCGCCCAAACCTCGCTGAGCCGCAGGCAGCGACTCTCGAAGGAGGGCACGAAGCCCCCGGCCAGCGCCAGGATATGCAGCGCCTCGCCGGGTCAACCCTTTCTTGGGATGGGGTTGAAGGGAAACATGCGGGAAGAACCGGGGTTTATGGGAAAATGCTGGTTTGTCTTCTTGTTGAGATGGTTTTGGAGGGAAACAACATTTTGAGACAAGGTGTGTCCATTGCACTTGCGAGAAGCGCCCATTTCAAAACCCATTGCCGCCTTGCCTTTTAGATCTACCAAGCTGGTGATAAACGTTTGTGCAGCCCTTACTATGATTTCCGGTAAGACTGCGCTGCGCCGGGGCCCGATGAAAATCGTGAACGATCTTGCCGATCTCCCCATCGCCACCGCCACTTGCTAGTGCACAGGCCGCCCCCAAGAACAACTCAGGTTTCACAAATTAATGCATTTGGCTCAGGTGCGGTGCAAAGGCTTCAGGGTAAGTTTCAGTACCTCGCAGTCTACTAGGGTATTCGTTGACGGAGCGGAAACCCATCGTCCTGCCATTGAGAGGCAGGGGTTTGGCCGGCCGCCTAGCTGGCTATAAATTTCCCCTCTGGCGTGCGTTGACAAACCCGCGTCCACTAGTTCTGGGGCTATTTTACGACGACATCCTCAACATTCCCGAGCTAAACGGCGGTTTTAGGGACACCATCTTGGCCCGGGTTTGTGCGTTTTAGGGGTAGCTTTGTTGGGGTTGTTTAAAGGGCGCCGAAAGGAAAACACTTTTTTGGGGGTTCCCCTATCCTGACGCAAACCGACCCATTTTGTCACAGCCAGCCACTCCAAGCCATGCAGATCTGTGACTGGAGTGCAGCAAAGAAACTTGGCACGAGGGTAGAACACTGCCTCCTTCAAGGGGAACCAGGACCATATGGCGGGTGTCTCTGTTTTAGGGGACACCTGCAAATGGGTGACTTTCCTTTTGGTTCCCTTTAAACCAACCTGAAAAAGGGTACCTTTCAGGGTCTGGCATCGCAACCAAGCCAAGTCCAACACCTATGCCGGCTGTCTACACAATCTTACACGAGATGTTTGCTGCGATCTTTCTGCTTGAAACAACAGATTGTCCCTTCCAAAACGGCGCCCCTGCTCACCTCTTAGCTCTCTTTAGGCTTCGAGCACTCGCGAATGGCTCCCTCATGGGAAACACCCACTTTAAGACCAGTGCGCAATTGTAATCCATGGATTCGTTGCCATTTCGAGGTGTCCTGCTTTTGACGGGTCCCTGATCCCTGTTCGGGCCCTGAATCGTTCTTAATATATCACTCTTTCATATGATCATTGATTCCCATGTGAAGTCGCTATATTGTTGCCATAAATCGGCCGGATTTAATCCACGCGGAACTGGGCACATTTCCCCATCGTGCCTGCCCCTGGCGGTACCTTTCCTCAGCAGAAGCAAATCCCTCAACCAGGGCGGCTTCAGTTTGCGCCACTTGCATTTTGATACGAGCCCCGGTCAAAATATGGTGCGAGTTGCTTTGGTCAGTCCCCATGTCCCAAAGATGACCATTGACTATAAAAAGGCTGAAAGAATAATTGAGACCCTGCAAACTCGAATCTTGCTCAATCTTTCCACGGGCGCTGAATGCTTTGGCTGGGCGGCCAAAGGGATGCCAGCCATGCTGGTGCAAATCTCCCCGCGGATCACCACCTGAGCTCGTTCGCTCAGAATCCGCGCGTAAGCTTGGAGTTGGATGGCAGGGTCAATGAACCTTGGGACCCTCAAAGCTTCAACAACGGGTGGAATCCCTCTGGTTCTTTCATTTAAACTCGGAGCCATCGTTTTTCACAACACTGAGGATGTCGTCTTGCCCGGCCGCACTCGTCAAAATGCAGGCCGTACACTCAGCCGAGGCACGAAAAGGGACTCGGAGGGCATGTGGGGAGGACAAAGCTGCTGGCCTTCCATGTAGAAGCCTCAGGATCGGACAAACAAAACCCAGAGCGCTAAGTTTGTGACACAACCGAGATCTCAACCACTGCCCTTGTGCGGCAAGAGCAAGCCCAGTCATTCGGAAGGTGCTGCAAGCAGGAGGAAACAGATGTCATCCAAACTTGCGTCAGACTAATCATTTTCCAAAAGCAAATTATCTGGACCCTGGAATCGGTGTCCCTAGTCATGATTGATAGAGATTAAGTGCACTGTACCCGTAGTAATTTGCGTGCATGATTGGCGAGTCAATCCACAACCGTCAGGACCAATCGCTCTCGAGAGTTTAAACAGGCCCTGCACCAGTAGCGTTTCTTCAATTGGCTTCTGTAGTGGCTTCTCTTTCAAACCGCCCCAAAACGCGGGGTCCTCTCCCAAAAAAAACCCAAAAAGAAGCGCACCAACCCAGTCACTCCTCTCTATCGGAGTGGCAGCTGCTGCCCCCACGAAGGATGGATGCCATAAAGGCCTGGCGAGTTTGCGGCGGGCAATATTCAATATTGCCAAATGTGACAGGTCAAAACCCTCAAAGTGTGAGCCATAATCAGTCGTACAAAGCCAAGATCATGGCAGTCTCAACTGTGTAACGAGTCCATGACCATCTCTGCATATCGCAAGTAAGCAGGTTTGGTGTTAATGGCACGACTCACCAATCAAGCGGCCAAGTCTACTGCACGGGACGAAATGATTCGAACGGCGGTGCGGGTATCGTAAAACCCAGTTAAGTCGTGATCACAGGGGAACGTGCTAAGCAGGCCTGGAAAATCAATAGCCGCCCCATGTTAGTTTCCGTTTCGGTCAATTAAACCGTATGGGCTACTTCGCACACAAAGTCCCTTCAGCCGATATGCCACCGGCCTCATCCAAGCCCCGCAGGATGGGCAGGGCGCTCTCCAGCGTTTCCACCTCAAGACGCGCTCGTCTATCTACCGGCTGAGGCGTCCTTTGGTGTCCTTAACAAAAGTTGTTGCTTCACGACCAGGAGCCCCCCAATCGAGGGACCTCAAAAAGTGTAGCTTCCAAAAGGAGAGCCCCATGCAATGTGCCATCTCAGTTCCTTTCATGTCGACCGCAAACGCATCAACTTGGAGGAAAGGGGGTGATTTCCCGGAAAAGTGAAGGGCCCCTCTGAAATGACCCTGATCACCTGGGCGGTGTATTGATCCTGGGTTCCCCTTCATCTGGCCAGCTTGGACAACCCATGCAACAAATGTGCTAACTTGATGTAACGTGTTTGTACAAATGGGGCTGGGTCTTCCGTCTCCGAAAAAAAGAAAAGGGACAACAAAAACATTTCCAGAAGCTTGGGGCGTGAAGTGCCTATCTGCAACGGAGAGCCAGGAGGTTCGTCACTTGCCGTCAGGGGGCGAAATTTGTTGCAACATTGCAGGGAGACCAAAACGATATGTTCAAGAATGGTTCAACCAATAGATATTTCAGATTGCTCGTAGACATGGGTATGTCGGCTTGTCTCAAAATGAAGACCCCTTCAATTCACAGATTTTCCATTGGGTGTCCCTTTAAAACCACTCCAACATGGGCAATTACCCGCCAAACAAAAAACGATGCCCATCTTTCAAACCGGACTCGAGGCATGGGCGGTGGGCAGCTTCTCTTCCGGCTCGTCTTGATCCAGCTCCTGGCAGGTTCCATGGAGCCCCATAGGTCGCGCCAGTCGAAACGGAATACGGATGAGGTGAGGGGCAACAAACGGTTGGGGCCTCACAGGAGCACGTGGTTTCGGTCTCACCGGCACACGTGGACACTCCAGCCGCTTCTGGTCTCACAGGAGCATGTGGTTGCTCAAAGTACTGCGCCTGCCACGAAATCCAGCCCCAAATCTGCGCTCCCGCAGGCTGCTTCACAAGCGTGCGCGCGCTAATTTAGCGCGCGGGCGCAGCTTGTCAAGCGTCGGAGCACGCAGCGGCTCGGGTCTCACAGGAGCACGTGAGCGCTCCAAACCACTCAAAATAGCGTGCCTGCTACGAAATCCAGCTCCAAAACCCACGTTGGACCTGGCTTCAACTGCACTCACGCAGGTCGCTTCACAAGCATGCGCGTGCTAGTTTTGCGCGCGGGCGCAGATTTTCAAGCGTCGGAGCACGCAGCGGCTCGGGTCTCACAGGAGCACGTGAGCGCTCCAAGTCACTCAAAAAAGCGCGCCTGCCACGAAATCCAGCTGCAAAACCCACGCGGAACCTGGTTTCAACCGCACTCTTGCAGGTCGCTTCACAAGCATGCGCGTGCCGATTTAGCGCGCGGGCGCACCTTTTGGAGCGTCGGCGCACGCAGCGTCTCGGGTCTCACATGACCACGTGAGCGCTCCAAGTCACTCAAACACTGCCACGAAATCCAGTTCCAGGCTCCAAGGGGGGGGGGGTGGGGATGGTAAGCACACACAAGTGCACCCGCATCCACGCACGCGAAAGAGGAAGCGCGCCTGCTCAAGCGCACCCGCTCAGCACTGCATCCACGCATGCGGGGGGGGTGCTCAAGTGCACCCGCTCAGCACTGCATCCACGCATGCGAAAGAGGAAGCGCGCCTGCTCTTGCGCACCCAAGGCGCGCGATGTCCTCGGACGTGATCGGAGCCGCCGTGTTGAGGTCACTCATCATGGCAGGCAGAGCGCGCAACTTCCGTTCGCTTGAGCTGCGCTACGCCTGCGTGTCGCGACTCGTGTGGTAAGAACGTGTGGTCGCCTCGTGCTGACGTTCGAACAGCGTCCCTCTGGCCGCTCACTTCCAAGCACGCGCGACACTACGCACGTAGAGCGTCCCTGTGGCCGCTTCCTTTGCAAAGCACGCAGAAAAGCCAGCGACACGTGCATCCCTGGATAAGATCAAGCATGGATGAAAGGCTTGCACGCGCGTACGCTACTAGTGCGTTTTTGCTTACATGCGCGTGCGAGGCTCACGTGCTTTGCCTTTTTGGGGGACATGCACGGTATCACATGCGCTGGCGAGACCAACGAAAAACTTGCCCAAAATACCGCACCTACCACGAAATCCAGCCCTCTACATGCGCGGGCGAGACCAAATTTACGTGCGCCTGCGAGCCGAAAACCACGTGCGCTCGCGAGGCCGTGACCCAACAAACAGACCTTGGAGAAGTGAAAATGAGTAAGGTCGCCAAACAATATGCTGTTAGAACCTTTGAGCACCGATTGGCTGGGATTGGCCCTTACCCTTCTACCAGGGTTTTGATTGTGCCTCTGAAATGGGACTGGCCCCTTTGGTTATACTTGCGTACCTGGACCCAGGTTGATTCATAGGATTATGTATGTATATATATATATATATTCATCTCCCTTACATCGGACACCTCTTTCGTGTATCGCCCTAATCAACTTGTGGAATACTGTGGATGGACACAGTGTCTCAAAATAGACGAACAAACAATAGTGCTCTTTCTTGTGGTTCCCGTTTCAAGCCACCCAAGATGGGTACCCTCGGAAAAGACACTCCCACATGTCACCGGATTCCCAAAGTTGATCAGTTTACTCCTGGTTGGACTAAGCATGGAACTTGAAGTCTAAAGCGAAACGGAGGGCCCCCACTGTGCATGGACCCGCAGCTTGGGATGGAAACTCCGAGTTTAGCCTCCTACAGTACCTACGCGAATTGATGTTGTTTTCTTTGTATACACTCCTGCAGCGGTTCCCAATTTTGAGACAAATCTTTGACCCAGCCTGAACATAGGCAGGTATCATCATTGGTTTGTCTCTAAATGAAGGTGCCTCTTTCCCTTTGAACCATCTTGATGGACCCTTTCTATAGACCCTCACAATGATCCTCATGCAGGAGTGCTCAGAAGTTGTCGCAATAACACTCCCAAGTGCTGTCCCCCTCTTGCCCCACCCAGCCTGACTCAAAAGGCTCAGCATTTCTGGTGCCTTCAGGCTCGAACCGTGGCACTGTCAAAGTTGGTCAAACTCCTCATGTTGGTCATGGCTATGGCTCCGGTACTAGCAAGCCCTGTTGGGCTAAATTCCCTCAGGGGTTCCCAAGTCATTTGGCCGTAACACAAGTATGACACAGCTTTGCATGGGGATGCATTAACACATGCACCGGTGTCATGCTGAGCATCGCACTTGCCGTCTACAGAAGAATTCGCTTGCCGCCATGGTGCCTGTATGGTGACATTGTGCTTGTGCAACAAATGCAGAAATACCTCAGCAAAATGCAGCTTCTGTGCACCAACACCTCCCTTGAAGGATGGTTGGCACAATACAATTCCGCGGAATTTCGAGCCTACACATACCCAGGCAAAACACACCGGTGGGGGAGGCAAACGTTACCTTGCACAGGGCCATGTTTGCCTACGACCTGAACCGGACTTGTCACTGCGGTCCATCAGGAAAAATAACCCGGAAGTAAGGAATCCCGGTTCTAAAGAAGCGGCATGGGTGAGTTCGGGTTTATCGCAAGGAGAGCTAGTTGCCCAAAGCAATGAAGCTTCCTTACCATGGCAGGCAGCGCAACCCGGGCAACATTCGTCTGCAAGCTACATCAACCTGAGCGCTGAAGGGAGATGGCGTCGTTTCTCGCGGAAAGACTGACAATGCGGCTGCTCTGGCTTTCCTGGTTCTACACACTCAACGCAAAACCATTGAGCGCAGCACCGCTGGGCCTAAGAACCAGTTTTTTTTTTCTCCTGAGATTGGTAGCTCTCACCGAGACAACACCCCAGATAAATGACGCTTTGGTGGATTGACTGATGCAGCAGGCAGTACTCTCCTCATGACAAACTCTTTGATCAGTTTTCACCGAAACTAAACAGCAATGCGATCCCTTTGGCTTCTCCCAGTAAAGAGACGACAGCTTCGCGGAAAATCCGTAACGGGCGACTTGCCACTCGCCTTTTTGACGGGGCGAGGTGCTGGGCGATGCAGCACTGCGGCCACCGCGATGGTACGGGCGAGCACCTGGACTTGACCCACCTGCAGCAAGTGGCACGGGCGTTGATCCTTCCCCCGGGCTGAACCGTGCGTCAGCGGGCCTTTCTCTTGCCTCTAGTTGTTTGATTTCTTTCAGTCACCCTTTCCAACAAGGTCACCATTTTGAGAGGGTCCCGAACCCACCAAGCGAAAAGGATTTTCTGGGTGGACCGACCTGGGAAACCCATCCCTTTGCCGGATCGCACCGCCAGATCGGCCTGTCGCAGGCCTAGAAGGCTGGACCCACCTTCGCAGGCCCCAGCGCACAAGGCGCGCGTGTGCGTGCGCACGAGTTCCGCAGTGGCCGCCTCAAGCGAGTCAATCGACTCCACTTCCGGCCCAGTTGAATCGAATGGATGTCTCCCTCCCCGTTTTGGCTGCGTTTTTAAGGTCCATGCAGTCAGGACAGTTTTAAGACCCAACCAGTTACCCTTCCAACATGGAACCTGGCTGGAGGGTGTTGGTTTAGACCATTGTCCTTACTCGAAGGGGCGTTGTACTTAGTACGTGGTTAGTAAGCCTGGCTATAACCCACTTACCATGATTATAATGATTATAAGATATTATAAGTCTCCTAAATGGGTTGTACCCAGGCTTTTTAACCACTTACTAAGTAAAGTGCCCCTTGGTGGGTTCCATGTTGGTGAACGTGCAAATGGATATCCCCCTCTTAGGATGGGGCTTTAAGGAAAAACCAAAGGAACGCCAATGATTCATCAAACCCCAAAGTTGTGGTTCCCTGCTTCTTGTTTTTTGTTATATACGGGAAGCTCACCGCTTGGCAAACGAGGTGCATGCAACGGCCAACAGGAGAACGTCCCTGATAGCAAGGAGGGGTCAACATAGTCTGCTCGGTAGGTACCCGTCAGAATAGATAGAGCTACCAGCCTTATGTACCCATGCTTTTTGGCATCTGAGGCATAGGGGCACCTTTGCGACCCTGAAAACGGTGACACTCCCAACGTTTCTCCACTGGAAATGGTGAAGATGAACTGTCACATGGGATGCCACGTTGATGAGATCCTGCGCCTTTTCACTCTTGATCAATTGACAAGGCCCATTGCACGCCAACCATATTCAGTGGTCCTTGCTTTAAGAAACTTTTGTTTCATCCACCTCTTTCTGGTCTCCCCTTCAAACCGCGCAATGTTTGAATCACTGCCAACCTCCTCTTTGTCTCAAAAGTGAGTCTGTCTGAAAACATGCTATCGCAAAAATAGATTTCAGTTTTAATTTTGTTTTCCCTCCACGATGCTTCTGCCTGTCCCTGAGCCATCCAAGGTCAGCTTCCACATGTCTAAGTTTAATGCCAGGCCGCAGATGTGCGTCGTGACTGCCTGAGGAAGGGAGGCGCTTGGAGCACTTGTTTCAATGGGCCTCCCAGGAAGTCTAGACACCCATTGCAAGGATTTCTAAGCGCATGGGGTCTGTGAACGAAGTTGTTTTCAACAGGAAGGGCGTTCTCAAAATCCAATCAGGTTTGCCCCAAACAAAATCATTGGGCCCATGTAGGGTGTCCCCTTGGCAATTTCTTTGCGGGGGAAGAGATAGGCACAGCTCGCGAGAAATCAGCTTTCACCATGCGTAGTTGTTTTGATTTCAGACAGGCGTAAGACAACCCCTGGCCTCTACAATGGACCTTGCCCCACCGTTGCGAGCCCTTAACCATGCAGGTTGATGGAAAGGACCATGGAATGGACCCTCAGAATGGTGGATGCCATTCCCGTCATGTCAGGGGTGGTTCCTCCTTTTTAGTGAAGAATTCTTGTATTTTTGCTTGGGGTGCTTTCCGGGATCAGCATGGTCCTCCAGAGTAGTCCGAAGTTGACATTTTTCTGGTCAACACCCCCTAAGTTTATCTTTGCCCGGCAAGAATGGCTGGAATCAACTTGGTGTTGCAACATACTTCAGTCTTGGCAACTGCAGTCCACGTGCAAGAAAACATGCTCTCATGCACCCGTGCGAACTGCGAAAGCTAAGGAAGCCTCCACTCCATGTGGTTCTGCCTTTTGGGGTACCATATTTGGAGGTACTTTGCAGGGAAAACGGTAAACCGAAGCACGTAAGCTATGGTCGAAATATGTGGCTCCTCCGTAGACTACTGCTTTTGTTCGACGCCTCATACCCCTGCGCATTCTTTGCACTGGTCTAACATGATGTCCATCTGAAGCAAAATTAAAGGTTCCAGAGTTGTACCCAAACCGTACCCCCGCTAAAGAGGGTAGGAGCTAGTTTTGCAACTGGGTGAGCGTGTCGGTATATGACGCAAATTTGGGGTGCACCTTGATTGGACTCTGACTGGAACCTTTGAAGGTGTCTTTCGACTATGGCCCTTTCAGGAAACTGATCTGGGGTTCTCGTGTTGGTGGGAGAGTGAGTTTTGAGTTGCCTATTGGGTTGTTTCAAAATAGGGGCGGTGGTTCTCTTTTGATTTCCCTCTAATCCAATCCCCAAAACCTTTGCTTCCTTAAGGCGCCTGGACAAAATAAAAACTCTGTTTAGGAGTGATCGATTCCTTTTAACACCAACAGCGGGAAAACATCTTCCGAAGGGACCCAACCATGGCATTCGCTTGTCTCAAATGGACGAAACGGGTTGCCCATGGTTGCCCTGCGCATCGAGGCCAGGAGGCACTTGGGACGCCCTCCGCTTCTTGAAGGTCGTGATGATCTCCTCTGCCGTGCCGTGCAGCAGCAGGAAGAGCGACCGCTCCTAGCCCGGGACTCGCAGGTGGGCGGCTCGTCTTTTTGGAGTTGGTGCTTGCGGTTTTCAGGGAAACCAAAAGGCAATTCACAAAATTTGGGAGTACCCACCCGTTCTTGGCTGTGGCTAAAAAACCAAAGGGCAACTCACAAAATTTTGGGGTACCCAGAAACCAAATGAACTGTGGCCATTCTTGATGATTGACTCTTCTTGAGACGAACCCATGTGGATGGATAGCCACAAAAACGCAGTCTATCAACCAGTACAGTATTTGTAGGGTTTATCCCTCTCGCCTATTTGGGATACTGTTGGAACACACGTAACAAGCTCCTCCGGGGTGCGGATTTCGCAAACGGAAAAGGAGCCAGCGCGCGTTTGCAACCACCGGAGCGCAAATGCTAACAACCGCTTACTTACAAAGCTCTAATCATTACTGCGCCACGAGGTGAGTGACTCGAGTGAAGCGATCGGGGATCGATCGAAAAGTCCTCAGGGGAGGAGTCCCAGATCTTCTGACCCGGCAGCACCACGCGGGTTTCCATGAGCTGTGGGAGCACACCTCAGACACGTCCACGGGCTCTGGCTGATTGATCATAGGCTCAAATCGCCCTTTTGGGTTGTACGGGCACGTGATTGGGTGAACATTGTGGGAGTGTTTTTCTAGGTCCGAAACTGGGGTGTTGTCCAGGTCCGAGGAATCTTCTCAGGTCCCAATCCACAACTCAAGCCTGAGGACCAGGCTCAATACGTCGCTGCTGAAGCCGTGGAACAGCGGAAGTGACACAATGACTTGGTCCTGACACATGGAAGCTTCACCCATTTTCTCACCCAGTTCACCTCTGATTCTGGGAGCCACATTGAGTAAAGCTCTACATATTACATAACAAATACACCAGCTTTGCCTGGATGAATTACTTTGAAAGTATGCTGTGACATACCACGTTTAGACAGCCTTCGTTAAGCGGAAGCCAAGAGAAAACCAACCATTCACGGGGTTGGCAAACTTGAAGACAATTCATCGACCCAACATCGACTCCTGTCAAAATCCTCTGCCCCCCCCAAACATTTTGACCTTAATCTCTGGCAACCTTGGCACACATCAAAATCTAAGCTCGCCTGCACCTGGCCATAAGCTTTCCCGGTAACACCCTTCAATGGTGGGTAGGCAAACACCAAGTAAAAATCAATCTTGAGACTCATCACACTTCATAGGTTCCAGTCATCCCCCCCCCCCTCCTAGTTGCCCAGCCCTGGTAGAAAAATAATTAGAACCCTTGGGATTGAGAATTCTTAGAGGGAAGCCCATCAAACAAACAGGGATTTTGAGGGTGCGACGAAACAACTGGCAGGGTACGAAATTGGCCCCCCGCAAACAAAAAATCAAAAAACTAAAAAACACCTTGTACCCCGTAATAGCAAAAGGTTATCTTTAAAGCCAAAGGAGCAATCCTGGCTCCTTGGCGCCCAATGTCCACGGCAACCCTAGACCAGTGGCCATGGGACCAAAGTGGAAAATCTCAAAGGGGCCCACCCCGCCCAAGAGATTTGACAACAAGTGGCACTTCCAAACAAACCATACCCCAACCGAACCGAACCGTTTCGCTCCTGGCGCCAGGGGCCCTCGAGCAACAGCTTCAGGCGCTGGCACTCCAAACCCTCCTCCGAGGAGCTCAGCGGCTTTGCCTCCCGCACCTCGAACTCGGATCGATCCGGAAGCCGTAAAGACGTCTTTACGCCATGTGGATCCGCTCCAAAATCCACACACCCCACACACAGGAACATGCAACACGTGAGGACCTCATGGATCGCCGGGGTGCTCGGGATTTGCTCCTCTTTAAAGCCCTGCAAACCCGAAACCCGCGCCGAGGAAGTAGGCTGGCTGTCTATGACACCAGCCTCACTGTGCGCCCCGGCGGAGGGAACAAGCACAAAGCGGATTGAAGCAGTCTCGCGCATTTGGATCAAAAGCTCCGCAGTCATGTCATTGATGTCGCGTTGTCTCCGCGCTAGAGCAATTAAGTATGCGTCCGGCATTTGCACCCCTCTTCAAAAGATACAGTCACCCAAAATAAAGCCAAGCAGCAAACAATAGCATGAGGGCTCAATATGGGTGTCTCCAAATAGGACGTGGACCGCCAAAACGAGGGCCCGTTGCTCTCTTGTTTTTCCTTTCAAGAAAACCCAAAATAATGCCGATCCACACAGATACGCCCATACATATCCCGAGGGCCCGCCCATACATTTCCCGAGGGCCGAGGCGGGCAACGCGAAGCGTTTACGATTAACTTGTTGCGGGAAGAGTAGGGACACTGAATGAAAACTCACAAGTGACAACTTTGCTCCTGATTAAAACGGAAAATGAAAGACTAAAACGTGCCGTGCTTTCCGGTGAACTGTTTGCCTTGGGCCAGGTAAGATGGCAAAGTTGGTCGTGTCTGGGCCAGGAGGTGCTGCACTTCAGTCCAAGTGCGCGGCCAGCGCAACGAAGGGACGGCGGTGCAACACCACGAGGTCACAGAAGCTCAAGCAGCAAAGGCTGTACCTAGGGATCCATCTCCTACCCAGTGGGCAGTGGGAAAAGAACACCCTGATTTTGGTGGGATGGAAAGTGAATCCGCACCGCATCTCCATGTTGTTTTTTATTCTATTGTCTTTGTGTTGTTGTTCTTTCGGGGCGGGGGAGGTGTTGAACAGTGTCACAAAGATGTCCCAGAATATTTAACTACTGGAACAAGAAGCCGGGCCCGGGTTTTGCCACGCTTGTGGATGACTTTTGTGCGGTCCCAAAGGCAGGCCATGCAATTTGCGGGCTGGGGACACCCTTCAAAGCCGGGGGCCAGATATAAACATGTTCAAACAAGAACAGGTCCCAAAAAAAGGAACACGGGCAAGCAGCAAAACGGATGAACCTCATGAAAGAAGCCCGAACTAAACACTTCCAAATGGACATGCGCTAAAGTGAGTGTGAGTGTGAGTGTGAGTGTGAGTGTGAGTGTGAGTGTGAGTGTGAGTATGAGTGTGTGTGTGTGTGGGTGTGTGGGTGTGTGGGTTTGTTTTGTTTTTGAGGATACACCGTTTTTGGTGGTTTTAAAGGAATGCAAAAAGGAAACCCACTAAGCGGGTTCCCGGAAAAAAAGGGATCCACCTAAATGGGACAAGCTCCCCCAACCAAATTGCAATGGAATTTCAAAGCCGACCACAATGCTGTACATGATGCTTTCGGCTTCCTCCTGGGTGCCCCTTGCAAACCATCCCAAGAGGGATCCAGCTTGGTTGGAAACACGTGGCGTTGGCAGTTTGTTGTCCCTGCCTATTCCCATCAAAATTGGACAGGAAACTCATTTGGGCACAAATGTGAACTGGGGACCCTGTGGACACCATGAAGGTGGGGACTATGTCCAACGGTTCCCTGTTATTCAACTTAGCGGATTGTTGGTAGGACAGGGTTTCGGTAAGGAACCAGCGTTTGCCGCCTGGTGAAAGTGCTTGTGAACTAAGCCTGGTGAAGTTGTCTTTTCTGAGGAGACTCCTTCTAGGGCTGCTGAACGTTTGCCAGCTTGCACGCCCTGCCAGTCCGAGCTATATAATCTATATTGGGACCGCCAATAGTGTTTTAGCTCATCCCAACCATTCTTGGGCGCAATCTTTTTGCGAACGTTGGTCAAACCGGGCTAACCTTGAATTGTGACGTATACATACTTCAAAACTGAAACCCAACTATCAAACGTTTAGCGGCCCTAGAATGAGTCTCCGCAGAAAAGACAGGTTCGCCAGGCTTAGTCGACAAGCTGCACTTACACCAGGCGGCGAACAGCAGCTCCTTACCGAAACACACTCCCAGCAACAGTATGCAGCGTAAGTAAAACACAAAAACACATGGCCCATTTTTCGGGAACGGCGGCGGCCTCCACTTGGATGTCACATTCATGAGCATCTCCTCACCCAGCACCTGGTATGTGTGCAACGAGCTTGCTGAAACAAAACACCACTCAGATCAAGATCATTTTGGAGGTGTAGAAGTGTGCTTATCTGGTATGTGCCGCCTGAGTATGGGATGATCAACATATTCTGAGATCCGGGTATGTCTTTTCTAAGGGGACCCTCAAAATGATGCTTGTCCTTTTGGTTTTCCTTTAACACCGCAAACAGGGGACCAACATCAACAGGGGCGTGGTGACACCTCTGACGGCAACGCTCTGTCTCACCGAGGCCTCTCCTTCTTGGATGCGCCGCGCCTGGCCGTGTTGCCAGCGAGCAAACGTTGGGGCTTACCGTAGAGACACAGGCCATACTGTGGACAAATCCAGCGCTAGTTGGTAGGTGGTTGACCCCAGTATTTGTAGGCTTTATCCATTCCAACTGGTGCAGGACTTTGCCCATCCACAGTATGGGCCCAAAGCTCCCTTTGATATGTACCCGTTGCATACCCACGTAGCGGGTCTGGGCTTTCCGTTGAACCAAAGTTCAAAAAGGCGAGGGGCCCGCACCAACGGCCCATGTAACTTTCTCTAGAGCCGCGTGTCAAACCTCGTTGGCTTCTCATTTGGGTTTATCTACTAAGCCCAAAACAGGTAGCATCAAAATGACACTCCCATTTGGCTCATTCGAGAGGAAACCACAAGGATAATGTTGCCATCCGGATTGGCAACAAGTGCGTGGTCATTTGCGTTGACAAAATTGTGCCCGACCGTTGACCGAGTCCTACTTTTGACTGTCCCCATTGAATCGCTGGAAGGGAGACATGGAGCTGCAACCTTGCTTCGGGCTCATATACCCGTGGGTTTAGTTCCCCTACTCATGTTCAAACGGAAACAAGGACACGTGCCGAATCCACATGAGCAGTGCCCTTTTGGCTTTGACTTTGGGTTCTACCAACATGGTTACCAAAGCCTCAACAAGGCCTTACTATATCTTACTATAACCCCATGAAGCCAAGTAGCTACCTACCAAAAACCCCTGGCCGTGTCCGCACCTCCACGCCGTCGATTTGCACGGACAGGCACCCACGCAGTAGCAGGATCACCCCCTCGTACTTCCTGTCGATTCCGTTGCGCCAACTTGCCCGTGACGGGGTTCGGGGTGAGCGCAACGAGACATGAAGAAAACCACCCGGATCGCCAGTTGCTGCTTCAGCTGCGACTGTTGCTTGTGGGTAAAATGTCTGGCAAAGCGCAGCGACTCTCCGATCCAGGCAGCAGTGTTTGGTGGGCAGAGTTCGGGGGAAGGACGAATCGAGCCGGAGTGCAGCGATCGTCCTCCTGCCCTGCGTCACCACGGTTTCCCCCGCACAGAAGGCATGCCTCCCAGGCAAAGATTGCGGGGCGGAACCAGCAAATCTCCAGAGTTGCAGAAGCCTGAAAGGCTTGTTGGGATGTGCCCAAGGAAAACCCATCCAATGCTCAAAACAGGAAAGAAGAACACAGGCGAAGCGGCGCAACTGCAGTGAGCACTGCCCGAGTCTTGAGCCACCCAACGAGCTTTTCATGAGTGCCGATCTGCTTAGGCAATATTCTGTAAAGGGGTGTTTGTTTGTTTGGGACTCCCTGGCCAAAACGGAAACCAAAGGGACAACCCACCAAGTTTTTGTTGGGGTCCCACAAATTGACGCATACCCAGAGAGTGATCCCTGGAGAGAATAGAAAAGCAGACTACAGCCACAACATTGTCAAAGCTCTCCTCATCTCACTCACTTCACATAAACGCCATTCGACGCCATTTGCCCGATCCATGAGAAACACTCGCAAGCCAACATGATCTTGGGGGTTGTCCATAGAGGGCCTTGGAGCTGGTCAGAATCAAAGAGATTCTTTAGGTAGCATTGATAAACACTTCGGAAAGGCTGAAATTCAAACTCGCAATCACCAAAGCTCCCATCCACTGAGGTCCTGAAAGACCATTTTCCTCTAACAGGGACCCTCCGGATTCCATTTTAGGTGCCGAGATATGCGGCCCAAAGGACTGGAAATCCAACACGGAGCCCCCCGCACGCCTCGTAGAACTGCGGGCCCTGGGTGGGAGAGACTGAATCACCAACGGGGGTCTTTTTTGGGGGTACCAGCGTGTTGGTGGTTTTTAGCGCAAACTTCCTTGAGTCCGTCTGTCGATCGACGTTGTCCCCTTGTCAAGAGTGTCGGAAGTCATGCTGTTCATGATGACCCGGTTCCACGGCCGCTGCGTTTTCAAGCTTCTCGTGCCCTACTGTGTGCAACGTAGTTCTGGTGAGCAAACCCCGCACCACCGCCTGCTTCTGGGTTGCTTTTGCAAAGCTGTATGCAATGGCGAGTGAGGCATTGCTACTGCTTACTTCGCTTCTTCCAAGTCAGCTCGCTGGCTGAGCCTTTGCCACCTTCACACGTTTGTGAGGTTTATTCAGCTCAAAAGGATTGTTTGCCAGAGATTCTTGTGAAACCAGTGAGTTTCTACTTGTCCACCTCCTTGTAGCAGTTCAACCCTTTTGACACACCTGTTGTAATCTGAGATAGCATCCGCTTAATCCTTGCTTTGGTTGGTAATCTGCTTGATCCGTTATCGGCGCTACAAACTTTGGGTTAACATCGAGTGCTGGAGTATGGAAAATACGTGCAACGCATGATCCGCAATCCGTAAGCCACATAATCTAGTCCGTAAACAGCGCAATCCGTAACCCGCTAATCATTGGGGATTGGGCTTGACCAAGCTAGAATATTATGTGCACATCTGATTAAACAAATCACAGACTGAACATAAGGGACGCTTCTGAAAGGAAAACTCGCACCCACAGTGACGTCGCTAAAACAACGCTCAGACGTCCATGTCCCAAGCCGAGGGATCGACAGAAGGACTTTCGCCGCATCATTGCACTGGAGTTTCTCCAGCAAGGGCTTTGTGAAGTCCACGCCTGCACGCCGGTCCCATGTTGGTTGTGGAAGCATGAAATCGCCATCCCCATGACGCCTGAGTGATGTGTTCGGGATTTGATATCGCAGAAAATTACCCTAAAGCATCTACAGTAAAGCTTCTATTTGCCACACAACCGCGGGTTCCATCGAGAGTTTAAGGTAACTCCACTCACTGAGCACGCAACCGCTCTGGTCCAGACATGACATCGTTTGCAATTGCAAGGCGCAATTCATCAGGTGTAGTAAAGGGCTTGGCAATGTGTGCCTGAACCTTCGGCACCTTGACACCATCTGACACTTACCCACAGGGCGAAGGATTCGTTTCCTGATGTTTCCCGTACCCATCGCGAACCTGACAAGGTGACCGCTTGTGGCTCCCCATCCACCCCACGTTGAAGTTGGATTGCCTGGTTACCTTCCGGCTTTGACAAAGCCATGGCTTGTTTCAATCACAACACATGCCGCCAATGCGTCGTTGTGGTCAAACAAGTGCAAGTAATTAAGCTTGAACTACTTGTTTCCGGCTCACGCGGAGCCATGGTCCGACTAGCTCTTCCCTCTCAGCGCGAAAACCGGCCTGCGCCCATGTAAGGCTGCATGATCGCCTGGCTCAGGGGAGCGTGAAAAGGGATGCTTGCGAGGCAGGGGTCAGGTCCACAACATGCTAATCGTGAATGGTACTGGAACAAGAAACGCAGCCCCAGTGATTGGTTTTGCTAAAGGATGCCATTCTTTGCCGCTCATAGGGACAAACTCCTGGACATATCCGCCGAAAGCAGGTTCCTTGTCTTCCAATCCGAATGCCGGCTGCGGGAAGGAATCCTCATGAGCATGGATGGTAAGCATGGATGGTTGCCATCTCACTCCGCTCCCCAAACGAGTTGGATGCCCTCTTCGTTGCCCTTAGACCAGGGCAGCTGGTAGTTCTTTAAACAAACCCGGCCGAATGGAAGCCCCCCCCCCAAGGTCCAAACCGATTCATCCGCCTGCACTGCAGGGAACTGCTGCAGCCCGCGGCGCAAAGTGCTGGCACGCAGCATGAAGTAGCCTGAAACTTTGAAGAGTCGAGCTGCGGAAAGGGCATAAGAACTCCTTTAACATATAACCCTGCCAAGATTTCTGTCAAAACCAGTCTTCAAAAGCTTCGCCAGCACAGTCTAAGCCAGAACGCACAATGGAGGAACACACACTGGCGGTTTCGGGGAAGGGGAAATCAAAAATCCCAACTTTTGTAGATTGCTTCTCAATAATTTCAGGTTGATGAAAGGACACGTTTTCATCGCCTTTTGTTGATTTCCACAGGATGCAGGATGTCCCCAAGTGTTGGCAAAGCAAAGCAAATTCACGAGCCCATGACACTTGAATCAGATTCTTGCAAGGTGCCCCGTGTGGCTTTAATGGCTTGGACCTCACCTGACCTTGGCTGGCTCCCATGAATGCCCCGCCCCAGAATTGGGCCCCTCGATGAAGCTGGGTAATGCTGTGGACAAATCCTGCACCGGTCGAAATGGATGAAACCCTAGAACTCCGGCGCAGGTTTGGCTAATCCATTGGATCTTCTGGCCATGTTCTGCATCACCGCCCTTTACCAACGGAGTTGCTGCCATTCGAACCTTCTCACGATGCTAGAAAGTTAAGTTGGCCCAGGAGAAGGAAAAACAGCAAAACCGTCCAGCAGGCCTTGCGGTGTGGCAACGACAAGATTGCCCCAAACCCCCAGGCGCTGCTCGCTCGCCCCCAAGGCGCACGCTGCATGGAGGGCGGATGCTGCTATTCCGCTCCGGCCGGCCCTGCAGTGCGAGAGAAATGAGACATGTGATGGAGCGTGTTGGGAGTTCTTGATTCTCCAATGAATCAAGCAGTTTGAAAGGGACCTGGAGAGGGCGTTGGTGTCCTTGGCGTTGCCATGTAAAGAATCAACAGGGCGGCCGCACCTGTTTGTGGAAAACACAAATCACTTACCCAAGAGGACTGCGTGCTTTCCGAGCCCAAGTTTGGCAACTTTTCCAGCCTGGACTACATGATTGTTGTCATGGTTAAACACATGTCGTTGTCGATAAGACCCTGCCGCAAGGATGCTAGGACTCCAAACGGGCCCTTGTCGAGGTCAAACAATTGAACAATTCCACTGGAGAATCCGAATCCTTACGCGTACCATACCTCAGCTATTGCCACCGCAACCAAGCATCACGACCCTTAAGATAGAACATACTCCTGCAAAAATAGGGACCCACGAGTTTCGCGTGCTCATCCCCATGCCACTAGCTCAAGGACACGTTCATCCCGCCTTGGCGGCAAGCTCAGATTTGGGGGCCATGGCCCTCAAAGAGACCTCGGCCCAAAAGCTTTGCAGGAGGACCTCAACGCGGCCTTTTTAGTTCTCACTTCCTGAGTGGATTGGCCCAAAACAGTCCAAACCTGTTTGCTAGGCACTCTTGCCTTCCCGAAAGTATAAGTCATGCTCAAATTGACGGAAGACCCAGGCGGATATGAATTTTACTTGAGACCCCTTACTGGATATCATTTACCATGGGCTACCAAAAAAACCCTTAAAACCTCCTTAGAGTCCAGATGCGGGGCGTGTTTATTGTGTTTCAAAGGGAAACCAAAAAGAAACTAACAATTTGTGCGGGTTTCCGTTGTCTAAAGACACACTCTCATGGGATTTCATGGACACATTGCTCGAGATGGCCCCAAAATAGCCGGACATTCTTTGGACGTTTGCCCAACATGAGCAAGCTCAACCAGTTCCTAGCACCCCTTCCTTCCACTGATATAACCTGTGTGGGACCAGGGCGCAATTTCCTGTTTAAGAACCCTTCAACAATCGGTTATTCGGGAGGGAATGTCAAAACCATGGCCCCTTTGGACCCTGGTGCCACCTTGTGCCTCATTTTAGCAGAAGGGCCCGCCATGGGGCCTGCGTTTGTGAAATAGCTGAACAACTCCATTTTAAAGGGGGGCTGCCAAAAAGCAACAACCCAAGTCAGCTCTGGTGTGGATCCCATGCATTGGGGCCCCTCTTTTTTGCCGAGCCACCGCGGAAACAATGGCGCGCTGCGCATAACTCTCCGAGCCTGCCAACTGGCTGAGACATCCATAGCACTAAGAAGGGGACTTGTTTGGTATCACCAAAAGTGGTCAGAACATCCTAAACGGCTTGTGGAAATGGGATCCAGCTTGCACCAAAGGACAATCATCTGTTTTGCATGCGAAGGGAAGCCGTTCGAAGAAAACAAATAAGGTCACCCAAAGGGTGTCTTTTTAGGAGACCTCCAAAATGGATGGTTTTCCTATGTTTTCCTCTTGGATTCCTTTAAAACCGCAAACACGGGGCACCCTAAAAAAAACACACACACACACACACACCCAGTTTGAGCTTCAAATCAAACAACAACAATTTTCGATTCCCTGGAAGAGCAGATCAAGGTGCATCGGCAAAATATTCATCGAGAGTCCGGTGCACGGGTGGATCCCGACCACCTGTTGATATCTGCATGTCATTGCTGCACATAGAGGGTTTGTCTCGAGAGCTATTTGGCAAAAAACAACATGCTAGCCACGTGCTATTACCCGGAATGGGCATAGAACAATCAGAACGTCCCCCCTCGTGCTTGTGGATTGAGACTAAAGCATCCTTCATGTCCCGCACACCAAATTAAGCACAGACTGCTGGACAGTTGGACTGAACCTCATACATCACTTGTGGCCCATACCTCTGCGTGCACAAAAACACACGTGTGTACATACACGTATGATGCGCTTGTGAATATCAACGATTCTCGTTTTCTGCGGCATGGGCGGCACTCAAACAACGTGGATAGCTACCGAGCCCGCCATCTGCCGCTACATGGTCATCAGCCAAGGCTGTTTGTAGAGGCCCATCTGGGGGTGCTTTCCTCCGGCGGCTCTTTTTTGGGCGACTCCAGTCTCTGGATGGTTGTCTTTTCGTTGGATGGCTCCGTTCGATGGCTCCTATTTGGATACTGCTACAGAGAAAAAGGGCAGCATTTTGTTCGTTAAAAAAACTCGAGGAAGGAATTGTTGGATAGCCTTTGATCAAACAACAAGAAATACGGGGATGATGCGGCAAAGAGTTTGCACGGTTTCTGCCCTCACTCTTTTAAGGGAATGCTTTCTAGGAACCTTTTTCCAAGAGCCCTTTTTCCATGACTCTAAACCGCCCAGCAGCGCTCTTTCGATGACAAATCCCTAAGAGGCCCTGAGGACTGCTCTGGCGAGTCGGATTCGCGCCCAGCCTGCCGCTAGCAAGTCGCCGAAGCCAAAGGCCTCGGGAATGGAAACCCGGGGTCCCTGCTTAGGTGCAGCCCTCGGAATTAACAGGTAGTAAAAAAGACGAGTTACAAGCAGTTGACCAAAGGGTTGCTAGACTTTTATGAAAGACCCAATAATGTAATGACAAATTAGAATGGGGTGGTGAGATACTTTGAACCGACATTCCTCATGATCATAAGAGAACCATGCATGCAACCATTTAGCCCCTTTAACAACACACTGACAGGGCTTCACTTTTGGGATCCGGAATCCCTTGGCCTTTCCGCAGAATCCCTGAGAAAATCACCCGAACTGGGATTGCAATCCAGGGCTTGCCCTTTGATCCCCCGTTGTCGGGGAAAAACAGACCCCCCCCTAGCCAGTAATTTCGCACAAAGTGAGGTCGCCAGGGCGAATGTTGTAATGATCGGCGTGGTTTGTGAAACATAAGGCTGCAATTGGCCCAGAGCTTCTGGATTTTGACAGGCAAGGAGACCAACTCAGACCTTGGGCTTTTGGGGAACAGAAGCCTGAAGAACCCAGGTGTCTGGGGTTCTTGCCAACTGCTCCTGGATTTCGGCGTTCCACTTTTCGTATGACCTCGAAGGGTCCTTTTACCCCTGTGTAAAACGCTTCCCCTGTTTGAGGGCGGGCGCGGACCAATCACTACATTTGTTCAATGATCTCAAAGCTGCAAAGGGCTTCCAACTTTTGAGGGTACCCTTTTTGGGCTGTTCATAAAGGGGAACCGATGGGAACCGCAAAGCAAATCCAGCTTGCAAAGACACACCACGCCCACTCCATTCCTTCGCGAGTTCGGGACCCTCGCCTGACCCGCACTCAGGCTCTCGACGGCTATGTTCGAGATCTCCAGGCCTGAGCCGCCGAAGACACTGTTAACACTTGGAGGCAACCCTTTTTGGGGGCTTAGGGTTGGTTTAGGGTTGGTGGGCTTGAGTTGGCTTGAGTGGTCTATTCTGAGACACACCCAGCTCTGCAAATAGAGTATGTCCAAACTCCGAAGGGAATCCCAAGACCCTCAGTTCGTGTTGCACCAGAGTGAACTCGCCACGGCCTTTTGGGTCCCATATTACTTGGCCAACATCTAAGCACACAGAACGCAATACGTCCAAACACGACTTCATATTTAGCCATAGTTAAGACATCAAACGTGTTCTGCAGGAGATGAGGGGGGAATCCGAAAGAGTCCACCTCCGGTTGGGCCGGATGCTGAGTCGGGGCATCCGGCGGAAGGTGCCACTGAGGACCACCACGGCTGTGGCCACCTTGCCCTGGCGGCGCTTGGAGTACATGGGTGCCCGTTTTGGGTAAGGGAGACCAAGCATGTTGCGGGTTCCCCTATTTTGAGACAAACCCACATGGATGCGTGGCTTGTGTTGAGGGTGCCCCGAACAGAACCAATTGCCTTTTGTGTTCCTTTCCCTTTTGTTGAGGATGTTACGAGGATAACCATTTCATTAGGGATCTCAATTCAGATACAGCACCCCCAAGTATGCCTCCTCTAAAACAGGCACGCTTTTTGATGGCACCTAAGAGGCTCGTACCCTCTACGAGCACCCTGACCCGCCTGCTGATCGCCAGGTCCCGCCGCCTGACCTGAGGGAGACTTCGTAGGGGCATGTTCGTGGTTTGATGCCCCCGCGCTTTTATTGTTAAAGTAGAACTGACTGTGTAATCTCCGAACTACCTGAATGTGTAAACCTGTGATGTGAACGACTCGGCACAGTTGTAGTCTTTTCTATCTGGGGCAATGTACTGCAGGCTCAAGGCCTTGTACCAAACAGCGGAGAGGGATGTGCATGTATTTGTACAGTGGTTTGCACTTAACATTTACAGATATATATATATACATGTATACATACACATATGTACACACATACATACACATACTATACATACATAGAGAGAGAGAGAGTGAATGTGAGTGAATGTGTGTGTGTGTGGATCCCTGCGCCTTTCCCACCTTATCATAGGCACAATGCGCTATTTCCATTTCAGAAGCATGGGGCTCTCGAAAACTGAGAGGGCGACTGGTCTTCTGCCATGGGAGACAAAAGCATCCCCATTTTCGGGTGTCTCTTGTTCAACATTCTCCTTTCAAGGAACAGCCTTGCTCGTTCAAGGTGCGCAGCCAATTTCCCGTCTCCAAGTCAGGGCGCGGAGTTGGGTTTCGGGGGTGGAGCCCTTTGGATTTCTGGTCCTTTTGGCCTGGTTTGCCACTTGCGAAAACTTTGTTGGTCAACGTGGCCCCCTGCATGTGTTGTAGGGAAAGGCTTCTCAGGTCGTACCAAAAAGCAAACGGCAGGGTTGCCTCCGTAGAAATCTTGGCCGAAGGGAAACCAAGGGAGACCGTCCAATTGTCACTATGCCCTCTGATGGTTAAAACATCCCTGTGGCTTCCCTTTGAGCGGTTCCTTTCCACGCCAAGGTGATTCCCTATTGACCTGAAGGTGGGATCAAACCAGCCAAAGAAATCAGGTGACCAAGGCGACCCGCTGGTTCGATAGGCAAATGATGGAATGACCAAGAACTAAACCATCCATGGCTTCCTTTAAATTGTTCCCGCCGCTTTCTTCAAACAGCATGCTTGATTCCCTGAGCAACAACAAGTTGCTGTTGACCCTGGAATAAAACCTTCCAGTAGTTCGGGTCTTTCACCACAAGGGGACACCTGATTTAACAGGGAGCTTCATGGAATCCCGGAGCACGGGCCTCGGAGATCTCGGAACTCGCCTCGCAGCAAACAATTTGACAGCCGTATTCGCATGGCTGCCCTGTGTATCTTTCTAAAACTCTGGACGTTTCAAGGTTCCGGGCTACCATTTTCACAACTCAAGAGCCAAAGGTTCGAACCACCACCAAGCGCCCCAAGTAGGCGCTTCATTGATGCCGACAATACTGGTGCGGGTGGTCACCACAGATTTGGCAGAGTGCCGTTGAAGTCATGAGATCCTGTTCATGGCCACATTACGTTCCTCACGTCCTCACGTTCTCCTTCGCAGCAGCTTGCATGTGTTTCAAGCTGGTGCACAAACCTTTGCCTGCGTGCATGCCTGCTTGGCCCGCTCCGAAAACACCTGCCATGTTTACAGGAGTCTCCTTTTGGGGCCTTTTTGAGGTTCCATCTCAATCTGCAAAGGAGAAGGATTTTTGCCAAATCAGAACAGCCGTTGCGGAGCGTTGACCCTTCCACTTGCGCAGGCGCCTGGCTTCACCAGCACCTGTTCCCCACCAGCCGCCAGCAAATTGATGAAGGCCTGTTTGAAGCGGACTCCAAGCAAACACAAACAGTCCAGTTCAGTGACCCCAGCAGGACAAAGGACTTGCTTTTTGGGTGACTACTACAAGCAGTCTCAAAAACTGTCTGCTTTCCTCTCGCTCCCATTTCAAGCCATCCCAAAAAGAATCCCATCCAAAAAACAACTCCCCAAAAGGTGCGGGAGCCCAAAAGCAAAAGGGGAACTGGGGCCACTGAGCAATTGTACGTTTCAGGGAAGGCCAAGCGGCAAGTAAATTCCCCTTTGTGGGTGTGACATTCCCGTTGGTTTGGCCAGACCAGAAGATGAGAAGCAGAAATAAAAACTCAAGCAATCCCGAGAAGAGTAGAACACTTGCGCCTGGTGAAGGTGAAAGCCAAGAAAACTGTCATCAACTGTCTACCCTTTCGTTTTGATCATGCTTTAAGAACCCCGCGCTTTGTCTCAAGATTGCTTCCTTCGGGGTTGCCTTCAGACTGTTGGTGTCTTGTTTTAGGAACCCCCAACATAGCCTTTAAAACCCCCAAAAGAGGGAATTCTCGGACGCCTCCCGACAGTGTTGGAAGATGGGCAGAGCCGCCAGCGCCCTCTCCGGCGTCAGCGGCGCCGCCTCGATGCGCCTGCGAAAATGTCGGATACCCGGAGGACGTTTGCGACGCGTGAGGCGCCCACGGGGTTTGAAGGGAAACTCGGCGCGTCTCTATTGGGAACAAGGCCCTCATTTGAGAGGGGCCTGCAAACTGGTGAGAAAGGCCCCTGTTTCAGACAGGGACCTGAGACAGGCCCTCGTTTGAGAAAGGGAAAACGACACCACGCTGGAACTGCTACCACTAATTAGTAAGTAACTAGTACCCTCAGTTTTGGTCAATTTTACTTTTGCGAAGGGGTGTGTTTGGGAGGCGGGGGGGTTCGCGCAACAAGAGTGATGTCAAAGGCTAAAGAACTGCGGCTAAGAAGCTGCTGCATGTTGAGTTGTAAGCGCACGCAACATTCGCCGGAGAGGTTGCCCGTATCCCAGATTGAGACGTCCACGCGCACCCACACGCGCCCATGTCCAGTGTGTCCAAGTACAGCATTTTCAGGGGGGGGCCTCTTTTCCCGAACCCAGAAAAAGGACCCACCAGTCAGTGAAGTCTCAAGCGGCAAATCGTAGCATGCAACACGCCGACCTGGAGCTTCTCGCTCCCGCTGGCAAGTCCGTGATCTGGCCACACGGGGGGGTTGCATGCCTTTCCTGGGGAGCTGTGACCGGAACATCCCCCCGTTTTGGGGCCTGCCGCCTTGCTACCCAGTTTTTGACAACCCCAACAAGTATGCCGGCGAAGATAGGACGTGTTTGTGCGGTCACTTCATTTGCACTAACATGCTCAGCCGGCACGGGCCAGCGCTTGGTAGGGCTCCTTCCCACCTACGAGGTGCGTGAACCCTCTTGAGGCTTCCCTTATCGACACACCTCGGCTTTCCAGGCCCTCTGATTGCTCACCCAAGAGCTGTGCCTCTTCTTCGGGGAACCTCATCATCGCAGCAGAAGTGGCCCCCCTCCCCTTTATGTCTTGGCTGGTTCGTTGCCCAGGAAAATAATCCCCCCTCGTTTCCCTCCAAAATCAACATGTAAAAAAAAGGTTTACCCTCAAAGCACAGCCATCTATCACGTGCTTGCAAGGCAAAGTCATGGTCCCCGGCCTGCTTGTCCAAACCTGAGCCCAGCGCAGAAAACAACTTATCCCATCCAAAGACCTTCCAGGTCTCCCCAAAGATTCCCAACAGGTTCCTTCCTTTGCCTGCCAAATCTTTATGCTAATGCAGATCAAGAGTCGATGTCCGATTCGGCGAAATCCATGTAAAATCGACCTGCTCACTTTGGGGCGCTGGTTGACTTTTCTCCATGCGTGCATGGCGAAACGATGCACTGAGCATCTTGCGATCGTGGACCACTGAAATTTGCGAGGGCCTGGCGGCAGACTTCAAGTGGCGGCCGATGCCTGGAGCATCACCGGACCTCAAATCATGACGCTGTGAGCCTGTTTTCTCAGACCGCCAATGTTGCGACTTGAAAGCAAGCCCACAACGAACACAGAATTGACGTACTGTTTGGCGGGCTTGAATATCCTTTGCCACTTTTGCCTTCACATTTGCAACCCCACATGCACAACAGGCTACACCCTCTTTGGGGGAACCCCCGTGCTAAGAGCAACACAAACCCAAAGATCAGCTCTGATTGGGGGATTGTAGCCGCAGTTTCATTTTACGAGCAGGTACACTTTTGCCGACCACGCAACTCGAAATTTCCCGTCCTCTTCCGCGCTGAGGCATCCCTGGACAGCTCCTAGCTGTAGCTGACAAAGGGACATGTGTTGCTTTTTGGGAGTAGGGGTGAACACAAGAAACTACCGCCCTCGTTGTGCCCCCTCGCAGTTGTTCACAACGCCACTTTGGCTTGTCTTGGGGTCGCCTTGCTCGAGATGCTCCTTGCCGCCTGTTTGCTCCTTGGAAACAGTCTAGATTTGTCTCCTTGGACGCTGCTCCTGGCAAAGACGCCTCTGGGTGGAAAGCGAAGGCATGGTTGCATTTGCACAACTTGCATCTCTCTGCCAGGAATATGGGCATGTCTTTTTTGGTACTCCTTTTTGGAGGCTTTAGCAAGGACAACAAAAGGAAAACCGATGCCATTTTGGTGGGTCCCAATCCCTGAAGGGCGCCTGCGAAAAATGGCAGCTACTTCTTGAACCACCCGCCATGGCACTCCGGCCCGCAAAGGAGGACCACTTGGGTGGCTCGTCATTTTTGGAAGCTACGCAGGAAACCACCCACTTTAGGGGATTCCTGCACTTTGGGGGCGGGGGGCAAACCCACTTTACCGGGACAAGGCGGCAAGGGGCCTGTGACCGTTGCCATGTGGAATACCTGAAAATTCTCAGCCTTCGAAGCCAGGAGTTGGTTTATGGCAAACCCTTTCTGTGGGGGAAACTCTGATGAATTCACAAAGGGACTTACGCAAGGGTACAAAACATGTCCCCTAAGCCAGCCTTCGTTGCCCCTCTCTCCTTGGGCCACATCTCGTACACAGAATCAATATTTGTCAGCTTCTGCTTCACATGATTCATATTAGTCGACCGTAAAATATGTGACTAGAAGCTCAAGGCCCTAAGTAAAGCAGCAGCCACGGCTCTGCATAAGTGCAGTCGTGCGCCAAACCTGTGGACTCACAGTAACTCAGTAACCAACGAATAAATTCCGTTGGATTCTGTCTACCCTAACATACCAAAACCACTTTTGGACATTCTGGTTTGGAGACCCTAAACCAAGACCTAGGATTCAAGCCTTGTCTACCATCATTTTCCTCCAAAAACCGTTGAACTAGTTTCTTTGGTGTGTCAAAATACCCCCCCCCCCCCCCAAAAAAAAAAAAAGAGTGTTCCTTGTGGCGTCCTGTAACACCAAGGTGAAAAACCTAAAAGGACACCAACGGGACAATGACGCCTTTGATTAAAAAGGCTTAACTCCGTACCCTTGGCTTGAGACACACTCCCCGATGTCCGGCCTCCTGAAAAGCGGTGGGGTCCAGGGAGCTCTGGCGGCTGATAGTTCCGCCGCTGTCCGCACCTTGCGAAGAGAGTGAACCAAATGGGACCACTTGGACCCCTCCCCCCCACCCCCCGACAAGAGTAAAGCTGCGTGTTTGGCGGTGTTTGGTTTCTTTGGACCCCTCATATTGTTTGTTCATTTCTTGGAGGGGGTTTCTCTAAACAATGACAATAGACCCCTTGGACGCCTTGGACGCCTTGGACCACTTGGACCACCAGGATAATCGGATAGGTTCCTTCCTGCGCTGTCACAAGCGCGACACGTGTGATGAGAACCTTGTCAAGCCATTTATTCAGTTGCCGATCACTTCTCTAACCCACAAGCATTCTGCCCAAAGGTACAATTCCCAGATTCCAAGGGTTGACCCGCCATTCTCGTCACCCATCGTTCTGTTCAGCAACCAACATTTTGCCAGGGTCTCGCCAATTGTCCAAAAGCATGTCCATCGAACAACTTCCGAAGGTGTTCGAAACCATGGACTGCCGCCGCCCCCCCCCCCCCCTGCAAGCTGAGAGGCTGAGATGGCTGTTTTTGGAGCCCGTCCGGGTCACGCGAACCTCGCTGTCGTGGTCGGTTTGCGCGCTGGGCCCTGGCCGAAGAAGAAAACCAGAAGGGTGAACAGGAGAATGCTCTTTCAGTCGCTTAAGTCCCCTGGAAAAAAGGCAATCCCAGTAGTGCTAGAGTCCCTTCAAAACAAACGAAACCATTAAACATATTCTGTATATGGAAGTGTTGATTAGGGCCTGGGATGCTTGAGGCAGTCCTGCTTGAATCTTGCGAAATACGTTTCTCAAAATTGGAGACGTGATCCGGAGAACGAATCCCAAATCTCGAATCCCGTTGTGATTAAATCCCGGCAATGCTCCTGTAATATCTGTGGGCAGGCCCACAAAGGCGCGCCTGGAAGCTTGTCAAAGGCGCCCCGCCGCTGGCTTGCCTCACCAAAAAGTGCCAAGCCCTCTGTGGGATGGCGTTGAAAGGAGACAAAGGAGACACAGGAAATACGGGGTGTTGATAACGTAGAGCAAGCGCGACCATGCGAGAAAGCAAGGGAGCGCCTTTTCCTAGAGGACTGCTCAAACTCATGGGCCTAAAGGCCGGTCGGGGATGACTTCCCACATGCAAATGCTAACATATTCACACAGCTCCAAAATGGAACCAATTCTTTGTTGACTAAGCTTCACTTCTGCTTGTTGAACTTCCAGGGGATCTGGATATTGCCGCTCGCCATGAGTGCCCACCATTTCCGCGGGCACATCCTCTTCGTGAGAACGTCGCTCATCTGCCATTCCGTCGGCACCCAATGGAGCGGCACCTTCATGGGGCGTGTCGGCGTTGGCTCCAGGCCAGGGTTCCTCAGCTCCCATTGCCGCTGTCCCTCCTGACGGAGGATCTGCCGAAGACCCGCCAGATCGATGGCCAGTCGCTTTTCCGACGGTGCCTTTGGCGCACCCGCCCTGTGGATGTGGTCATACAGGGATCGGCAGTCGGTCATGAGGTGAAAGTCCATCACGCCCGACTTGGACTTCTGGAAACTGCTCCACAGGTCCCGTAGGAACAGCGCGTGCTCCGAAGCCTCGCAGCACGCCATGGTCTCACCCGCAAACGTGGACCGGCAGGTCCTCTTGCACACCTTGCTCATCCAAGTCAAGGGACTGGCTAGGCCTCCCTCCTTGTTCAAGACGTCCTTGTCCGCCATGAAGATCATGACTCCAAGCTGCGAGCCGGTCAGGAACTTTCCTTCCCATTCTTCATCACGTTCACCTTCCAGTTCCACGTTCCCCCAGGCCGCATCATGGTAGGCGATCAGGATCTCCCGGCCCGGTTGGATCTTCCGCAGGGTGATGCCTTCGCTCTGGAACTTTCCGGCCTGGGTCACCAAAGCGTTGGTCTCCTTGAGGTGCTTGATGCGGGGCGCGTTCTGATGACGTTGTGCTTCTGCCACCCCCATCTGAAGGTCAGGTCTGGATTGCAGCGCGAGCCAGCTGAGACTCCCCACCACCGTCCGGTTGTCTGCCTTCAGCTCGCCGTCCACCTCCTTTTCTTCATCCGCCTCCTTGTCAAAGTCCAACCTCTGAAGCCGCCCATCGATGTAGTCCTTCTGTGTGATGGTGATCGTGCTCTTCTCCATGTCCAGGTCGTAGTGACTCCCGACATAGTCAAAGTCCCCAAAGTTCCACTCGTCAATGGGGAACATCGCATCCAGCTTCTGGCGGATCGCCGCGTTGATGGCCTTTCGACCAGCCAGGAGCAAGTCGTCCACGTGGGACAGCATCAGAGCCCGGACCTCTCCCTCCAGGGTCCGGAATTCGAAGACACAGGGGTCGATGAGGTTGTGCTTCACCACCAGCGTCTCCCCCTCCACCTCCAACTTCAAGTTCGTGACGTCCTTCGAGAGCTTCTCCCACCAAAGCCTTGGACTCGTAGAGAGGCCGAACACTCCCTTTTCAATGGAGACGAGCTGATGGGGTTCCAGACCTGGAATCCCCCTCTTCGGCTGGCGGAAGTAGAGATTGCGACCCGCCGGGATGCCGTTCAAGAAAGCAGCCTGCACGTCCGCGGTGCAGACCTCCCAGTCCTCGTTGAGTGACTTCTGCAATGTCAGCATGAGGCTGGTCCTCGTAGCAGTCGGGGCGTCACATTGCATCTCCACCTTCCCGATGTCCGGGTCCATGTGTCCACCGACGCAGAGACGCGCCTTCGGCTTACAAGGAATTCCCGCATCCGGCGCGGCCTTCCTTTTGCTATAGTTCTTGTCCCGGTAGGCGAAGCGGCAGTTCAGGATCCGGTCGTTCGCCACATTCTCCCGGACCCATTTGGACTCCGCGATCGAGAGCGGTCGCACGGCCTCGAATTTCAAGTGCTCCTGCCACTGCTTCACCTCTGCCTCCACGTAGAGGTGCTTCTCCTCCTCGGGAATGCGCTCCCAGGGGAGCTCCTTCTCCAAAGCCTTGTCCTTGGACTTCTCGCTGCTGCCTCGTTTAACCATCATCACTTCTCGCACGGCAGACTTACTTGCAGAAGAAGCCCGTCCAGAACCTTTTGCTGAGGAGGATCGCCGGATCTTCTGCATTCGCTGAGGCACGTCGTCCAGACTCCTCCTCCGCCTTGTGAAACTCCGCAGCTGGTCCGCGATCTCGCCCGCCTTCTGGACCCTCTCATCCATCACCGTGTCCTCGTTCATCGGGTTCACTTCTTCCGCCTCGAGCTGAATCTGCTCGCCGGTTTCCACGTCGACCCCCTGCGCCTCGATGAATTCCTGCAGGTCTTGATTCCGCATCACCGCATCCACCTCGGCCAGGGATGTCTTCAGACGGAACAGGGCGTTGACCTCCTCGTGATCAGCTGGTCGAAGATGCTCTCGGGCGCAGAGCAAGCACCGGCCGCCCTGACTGAGCCAGACGTTGTTCCCCTCAAAGCCTATCACCGAGCAAGGGCCTAACCAGCGTCCAACCGCCTTGGTGCTCTTTGGGGCTCGGTACTCCCGGTAGTAGTACGCCAGGTCCCCCAGCGCGAACTCATGCTTCTGAACCCGTGGTCGCCGTAGTAACGCTCGCCGGGTGCTGTCCTTCGACTGGATCTTGAAAAAGGAGGCCTTGGCCCCCATCCGGATGGCATTGATCCGCGACATCTTGGCGTCCTTGGTCACCTTGAGGGTCTCGAAGGAGTCCGGCTCCTCCATGATGTCCCCCACCTCCCGAGGCATTGAACCGAAGACCCATTGCCGAGGAGCGTAACCATCTCGATTCCGCAAGCAGTTCTTAGCATCGTTCACCGCAGTGATGCCAAGAGGCACCTCACTCGGCAGGATCACCTCGTGCTTGCAGGTCTTCTCCCAGATGGCTTTCCAGCTTGCGTTGTGCCGCTCCACCAGTCCTCCTTGCCAATGTGCCTGAGCAGCGATGCTCCGGATATGCACACCTGTGTCGCCGACCATGCTGAGGAACTGGTCCTTGAACCCGCTGTCCAGATCGATGAGGATGAACCGGGGGTGACCCGCCCAGGAGGCCCAGTACATGTGGTAGGCCTGCGTGATGTCCGTTGAAGTTGTGCTCGGCAAGGGGCACACCACATGATAGGTGGATCCCATGTCCACCATGCTCAGCGCCTTCACCTTGTTCCCGGTAGAGTCGTCGAAGTGGATCACGTCCATCGCGAGCGCCTCTCCGAAATCCATCAGCGTAGCTGGTCGAGCTGGCCGTCGGGTTCCGGGCTTCGCACATCTGCTGCACGTCTGACACTTCAGGCACTTCGCAGCTCGGATGAGATGTTCATCCGCGTCCGAGTACTTCAACTGGCGGGCCAACTCGTCGTTGGGTGGGTGCCCGAGATTCTGGTGCAGCTTCTTGCAGATGGCCGCCCACTTGGCCGGGATCTGCTCACTGAAGGTGATGCCACGCGAGCCCTGCCATTCCTCATCTGGAACCAACTCGGTCTCATTGAGGTCCGGTCCGTCCTTCGGGATCCCGCCCCCGGTCTTGTCTACCGCAAAGGCCGTGTGCTCCCCGAGGTTCGCCATGGTCTTCAGGTAGGCCTTCAGGACACCGCGGGCGAACCGCCATGGGTAATGGGCTGTCGCCCCAGTCTCTGCACCCTGAATCCGTCGATGCTCGTGCCCACCGTCACATTGTTTCCCCAAGATCTTCTCGAAGGCGCCCGAGGTGGTCGTCAGTCTAATGGTTTTCCTCAGCCGCTCCTTCCCATCCAGGCTCATCATGCCGAAGCGACAAAGGTCCAGGTTGAACGTGTAGCTGCCCGGGTCCTCCACCCATTTCCTCACCAACGGTTCCTGCCACAGGGCGCTGCGGCTGGGATTCTCCATGATGGTATGACCACCACTCATCCTCTGTAACAGCATGACCTCATCGTAGAGCTCGAGGAACACCCGGTCTCGTTGACGTAGCCGTCGTAGTTCCTGGGGTGAGTGGTTGAGGTGGCTGAACCCGCAGAAGTTCGTGCAGGGAGGTGCTAGCCACACCAATCGTGGCCTCTTCTCCTCAATCAGCCGCAGTACCTCTGCCCGCCGTGTCGCCTGCCGAAGGTCCTGTCCATGGAGAAGATCCCACGGAGGTAGCACCGCTAGACCAGCTGCCTCAAATGTTCGGGAGATTCTCCCTTTCCCAGCAAAGATCTCCAGTAGGTCGGGGCGCTCCTCATCCGCCTCAGACGCCACCCGAGCTCCAGAACAGCAAGTCCAGAGGTCGTTGGCTGGCTCACCGACTACTTCCTGGGTGAGAGCAACCGCCGTCATGAAGCACATTGAAATCACGTTCTTCGTGGCGCGGGCCATGTTCTGCAACTTCTTCCGGGTAGTCGCCTTCATCTTGCGTCTGCGGACACCAGCCACCGCTCTCTGGAACTTCTCATCCGCAGAGAGCTGCCCGCAATCACTTGGCTCCTCCGCGTCATCTGCCTCCTCCGGTACTCCAGCTCCTTTAGCGTCTTGAGCGGCTTTAGCATCTCCAGCTCCTTTAGCGTCTTGAGCGGCTTTAGCATCTCCAGTCCCTTTAGCGCCTACTCCTTCTTGGTCGCCCGGTCCAGGTTGTTCTTGTCCCGCAGCGCCGCCAGCTCCGTCTCCAGTCGAGTGATCCTCTCCCGGTCGGCATCCGAGACCGTGATCTCCATCCATTCCTTGTCGTCCTGACTCCTCCGGGTCCGATTGGTCTTGGTGTAGCCCTTCCCGCCGCCACGGCTGCGTGTCGCTACTGAGGAGGATGTTCCAGCCCCGTCGGAGGAATCCCAGGATAGGACTCCCGTCCTCTGGGGAGGCGGTACCACCGCCAGGGTCTCCGGGTCCTTGGCCATCTTGTCGATCCATTTGGAGGGCTTCCCGGCGTTCTTCTCCTGGTCGTCCTCCGAGCTTCGGCTTTGCGCCCAGGTTGCCAGTCTTCTCAGGTCCTCTGACGCGTTTCCGTTTTTCTCCACCTCGGCCATGGCCCACACCAGGTACTCCACCGGGATCTCGCGGTACATCCACCCGCGGTAGCGTCCAAAGGGAACCACCGTCGATGCGGGCCCCGCCATCTCCCGGAGTCGCAGCAGGAGCCAACCCCGGGTGGTCTTCTCCGGTACCTCGATGCCCACCTTCTCCGCTTCCTCCCTCAGCTCGGTCAGGTTCATCTTGGCCGTCTGCTTCAGAGAGGTCGCTGTCTCCTTGGCTGGCTTGTTCTCCACCACCAGCTGACGTAGCTCCGGCACTGTCCAGGAGGGGTGGAAAGGTATGCCCATGTCCTCCAGCGTCTTCATCAGATCTTCTTTTCGCATCTTCCATGGCGAGGTCGGCATAGAGGACATTGGGCTCCGAATTGATGAGCTCCGAGGGGCTAGGCATCCTCTGAGCTCGTGTAAATGAGCTGCGGCCGATCCATAAGTTCTGAGGTGATTCACGCGTCGATGCCCCCGATTGCCAATCATGTGTAACGGTCTGAGAAGGCCCAGCTGGTACACAGGGGATCAGATCGACTTGGCAGAGGGGTCCCAAGGACTCTATCAACTTCTTCTTCAGGGCGCTCTGGTCGGTCTTCCAATCGCGGGGGTCAAACCAGGTCCTTCTGGGGGTCACATGTACCCGAATCATCCTTTCACTAGTCTCAACCCAGAAGTCCCTCCCGATCTTGTTGTGCTTCCACCATGACAGGAAGGTTTCCTTGGGCAAGGCGTCCAACCCACTCAAGAAATTCTGAACCACCAGGGGGACCTTCTTCGGGTAGAACAGCTTCGGGAAATCCTTCTCGCCCTCATCAATGGGGGTAGTGGGACCTCCAGACGAGTGCGCCATGTACACTTGTGGCGGGCTCAGTAGCAGTGCCACCTCCTGATGGTCAGGGAGGCTGTCGAAAAACGCCTTGATCGGGATGTGATCACCGAGCTGGTCTACAGGGATCGTCGGGTGTCCCGTGGCTGTGAGGCCAAGCTCGATCCCGTCAATCCCAAGCGACAAGAAATCGGCTCGATGGCCCCGAACATCTAAAACGGTTCCTAGTCGGGCTAAGGCTGTCCGGCTCAAAAGAAGGGGAACACGGCCACCAGTGCAATTCACGAAGGAGACCTTCACCAAGAAGTTCTTGCCTTCCAAGCCCAAGACCGCCCACACGGCGAAGCTCGACTGATGGGGCCGGGATGCTCCAAACCGGAACGTCTCCGACTGATCCACCGTGTAGATTGGCAGCCTGTTGGCCTCCGCAAACCGGGTGTACTCCAGGAACCAGTCGTAGCCCGCGACACTCCGGCTACACGCCGTATCCATGATGGCCACCAAGTTCTGATGTGGCCCTCCAGCAGGGCCCGAATTGCCGGCTCTCCGGGTGTCGTTGTCCATGCCCGCCTCGAAGACCAGCGCTGGGTCCAACTGTATCATGTCCTCATCGATGACGCCGATGTGGTCGTTGTCAGCCGCAGTGGTGAAGACCACATGGACCTCATGACCCGGGCGGCCACCCTCCTTGCTCACACCCTTGTTCAGCGGGCAGGCGGCGTCCTTGTGCCAGTGCCCCTTACGTTTGCAGGCCGAGCAATAGCTCCGGTTCTTGGCTTCCTGCAGTCGCTGCTTGGCCCGGGCCTTGGCCTCATCCTGGTCCACTCCACGACCAGAGACTGTCGCTTTGAACCGTGCCTTTGCCGCCAGGTGAGCCTCGAAGGTGGTGTGTAGCTCGCTTGCCACCTCCTCGGGCATGATGTCCTCCCCGGACTCCGCCCCATCTTCTCCGTCGGCTCCATCCTGATTCATGCCCTCCTCATCGATGTCATCGGCCATCCAGGCGGTCTGACCACGTTCACGCCTCTTCCCAAACCATCCGTTGTTCGTCCGCGGCTTGCCGCCGAAGGGCTCCTGGGGTCGTCGAAGGGTCCGATCTTGTAGTAGTGCGGCTCGTTGAAGTAGCCCGTAGTCAAACTGGTTCCCCACCGAGGAAAGCAACGCCGTCTCGTCGCTCTCCGAGATCCCCATCTTGTCCAAGTAGGCCCAAGCCTTCACCAGTGGGGGAAGCTCACAGGAGACCTCCTGGAGCCGCAGGATCATCCTCTCATATTCCATATTGTAGTCCCGCATGGAGTGCTCCGGTCGACGTTTGAACTTCCTGAAGAACTCCGTCATCACCCTGCCGACCTTAGTGAGCTCTAGGTCCAGGAACCGAGTCCTGATCCATTCCTGGAAGTACTCCACGCCCTCGGCCGTTGCCAGGCGGTCCAGATTCAGCTCCTCCGAGAAGCTCCATGCTCGACCACTGAGTGCCGAATAAAGGGCGAGTGCCCGTTGTTCCGGCGGTAGTCGTGTACAGCGTAGCCAAACCTGCATCTTCCTCAAGTAGGACCTGGCGCCCAACCCGAGTTTCTCATCTTCAGCTTCTCCATCAAAGGTGGGCACGTTCAGGCGCTCGCTCGGCTTGTCCTTCCGGTTGCCAAAGTCCCAGGGCATCTCTTCAGCTGCGTGATGTCCTCCAGGTGGCGTAGCAGCTCCATGCCATACTCCAGACTGCGAAGCCACTAGCGAGTTCAGCTCGCAGTGGGAGAACCGTCGCGTCTGTGCATCAGTCCACCATCCAGTCTTCCAGGTCTGGTCATCCGAGTAGTGCTTCCCCTGGTACTCCGCCTCATAGCCACGCGCCCCATCGCGTGATGAGTACCATCCCCAGTTGTCCCACCACTCATCTGCCCAGGTGGCCCGGTCCTGGCTGTCCGTGTCCAAGTTGCTGCCGCCCCCAGCCGGTCCATATCCAGCCCAAGGATCAGCTCCAGTTCCACCTCCAGATTGCCAGGGGTCCTCTTCTTCCTGAACCGCCACGTCCGCCTGCGCCTCCGTGGCGTGGTCCAAGGCTGCCGCCTCTCCACCTGTTCCCGTCCGGCTTTCTGGATCATCTTCTCCACCACCTGGGCGAGGTGCCCACATGCGCCCCCCCCCCTTCACCATCTCCGTCTCTCCACCACCGGTAGTAGACGGTGCACTGGTCCGTGGCCGTGAACTTCGGCTCCGCTACCAATGTTGATAACGTAGAGCAAGCGCGACCATGCGAGAAAGCAAGGGAGCGCCTTTTCCTAGAGGACTGCTCAAACTCATGGGCCTAAAGGCCGGTCGGGGATGACTTCCCACATGCAAATGCTAACATATTCACACGGGGTACTCTTTCAAAGAAAGCATCTTTCAGACGGCCCCGTTTTGGGATGGCAAATGGCGACAAAGAGAAACAAGGTTGAGAACACAAACAACCCACTCCAATCCCAACAAATCCGACCCTACCTCAGGGCTACTAACAGGGAGTTCCCCTCATAGTTTCCAAACCGCCCCCCCCCTGAACCACCCCCCCAGAATACAGAAGGGCTGATTAGGGCTTATTAGGGGCTAATTTTTGAAGCAACTTCCTGAAGCCATCGGCGCTCGGAAGCCAACCCGCCCGCCGATTGGATTTCATGTTGCTTCAGTTTGGCTTTCAGTTTCTGTTTCTTCAAATTCCCTAGGCGCGCTTTCAGCGTTCCCTTGAATTGGGCTTTACGTTTGCCTTACTCTTGCCTTATTTCGTGCTATAGGTTTGCTGCATGTTGGCCTTGTTTTTGCAGCATTTGAAACCAAATCCCATAGGCATGTGCGCTAATCTGGACTTAATTTGGCCTTAATTTGACCTTAATTTGGCTTGAGCCCAAATCCCATAGGCAGTTGCGCTAATTTGGCCCCTTTTTTTGGCCTCTTTTGTGCTTAAACCCAAATCCCATAGGCATTTGCGCTAGTTTGGCCTTAATTTGGCCTTAATTCGGCCTTAATCTGGCCTTAATTTGGCCTTAATTTGGCCTTAATTTTGCTTTACAGTAGCTTGGCTTGATTCCCAGCCCAATACACCGTAGGCACGCACCCGTAAATCAGGACATCGCGTTTTCATTTAGCACGTGTGAAAGGCTGGCGCGTTTGAGCTCAGTCTTGCCTTAAGTCTGCTTTACAATTTGCATTGTTGGCTTGAATTGGCTTGAGTCATTGGTGCACAAACAAAAAACTTAATTAGGCCTTAATCTGTCCACAAGGGTGAATTTTTAAAAATTAATTTGGTGTTAATTTTGCCTTAATTCCTGGTTAATTTTGGAGCCAAATTAAGGCCACAACAAGGCCTTAATGAGGCCTTAATAAGGCCTTATTAAGGCCTTAATTTTCTGCGTCCTCTTAATTTGGTATTGCTTTGGAAGGGGGGTGGGTTCAGCGGGGGGGGCTTATGCAAACTATGATCCCCTTGAAGGAAGGAAGCCTTGAGTCAAGGTTGTGCCGTCGCCTTGCATTCAACAGCCCTACAACTCGAGAGCCGACCACTCGCCAAATGCCAAATGAGTTTGTCCTAGCAAAACCAACAACCACGCGAAACTGAAGGAGCCTTCTTTCTTCTGGGGTCGGGCATCTTTCACACGGAAAATGATGTTGCCATGTCTTGAGTGCTTCCAGACTTAAGTTCACATAGTGTGTCTCGTTAATTGGTCCAAACATGCGCACCATTTGTTGCTGCCTCCTTGCTTAAATCTATAGCAAGCAGGGTGTGTGTGTGTGTGTGTCACACAGGAGTACCCTCGAACTTGTGGTTCTGCTTTTGGTTTCCCTTTCAACTAACCCCAAAAAGGGTATACTCAAACCAAGCCCGCGCCCGACAAGATCTGCCATGGCGTTTCGATGTTGGCCTGCCGCAGCCGCCGGCGCAAAGGCTCTTTGCCCTGCCCCTCCTCGCTGCAAGGGCCAAACCTCGGACCCTGTCGTTTAGACCCAAAAGGTACAACATGGGTTTGATATGGTTTGATTCTTCTTCGAATAGACGGTTCGGAGATTGTGACAATCCGAGGACACGATCGCATTGGTGTTGATCCATCCATCCATCCATCCAGCCATCCATCCATCCGGCTGGATGGGTCTGGATGCATGGCTGGCTGTATGGCTGGCTGGCTGGCTGGCTGGCTGGCTGGCTGGCTGGCTGGGGCCGGATGAATGGATGGATGGATGGATGGATGGATGGATGGATGGATGGCTGGCTGGCTGGCTGGCTGGCTGGCTGGCGCGCCCGGATGGATGGCTGGCTAGCGCCATCCATCCATCCATCCATCCATCCATCCATCCATCCATCCATCCATCCATCCATCCATCCATCCATCCATCCCATCCATCCATCCATCCATCCATCCATCCATCCATCCATCCATCCATCCATCCATCCATCCATCCATCCATCCATCCATCCATCCATCCATCCAGCATCATCCAGCGGATCACAGAAGTGGCAGCTGGAAAGCTCATCAATCTTTCAGGACCTAAAGGGTCAATGCTGAACTCAATTTTTGCCGCTCACATGGTCCAAAACCAAAACGACATCAAGGCCAGGAATTTAGGAAGTACCTTCAGCCCCGCGCAGTCCTCCGCCATCTACAATGCCATTGCTCCCGCTCAGGGTCGCTCAGCCTCCCAAGTCTCCTCTGGCCTGGCCCCTATTTGCCCCCGTGCCAAAGGCGGAAACCACCACGTGGTGGGCGTTCTTTCAAATGCAGCCGGAATTGGGTTTCTCGTTAGCATTTCGCGGGCATTTGGTGCACAAAACTGATGGTTCAAGGAACATTTCACTTCTGACAAATAGTTATGGTACTTTGGGCATCTTTTGGCCAACCGACAGAAACTGCGCAAAATATGTTTAATACCTGGAAAGGGTTGCCGTGGATGGAACCTTCATGGGAGAAGCGGTCGCTAAGCAAAAACCAGTGTAAGCCCTGGACCTAAAAATGCAGTAGGTATATTTTTGGGCAGCAGAATCTGCAAATGAACATCGCGCCGCATGTGGCCGTGCCTGGCCTAAGCTGGCCCGTGAGCCAATAGGGCGGCGTCCAGGCGTGACCGAACGACGCAAAGACGCAGAGCAGGAAAGTCTTTGGGTTTGCCAGGTGCTCGGAACAAGTTGCGCATTGGAAGCTTGGGGTAAAACGCCCGAGGCGAGTTATTTCGTTCTCCCACCTGCCAGCTTGAGGTGTCTTTACCTCCAAATTTTACACGATGCTTCGGACATCCAAAGCTGATGCACGCCGGAGATCCAAGTAATTACTGTGGATGGACAGAATCCGCTTCACACTAATTGGTGGGTCCTGGTAGGTGGTCTATCCCAGATGTGCGGGAGTTTGTCTGTCCACAGTAGTAATCCTGCCCAAACCTTCCAACGATGACCCTTTGTGCGGTGTGCTTGTCTGTGTTGTGCGGCACTTGCGCCATGGGCAGCGAATTCACTCCTTTCAAATCATGATCCCACCTTGATTTGCCAACTCTCCCAATGCAAAAAAGAAACACCTTGCATGACTAAACTTGAGACTCTTCCAACTCGTTGTTTTTGTGTGTTTTATGCCCTTTCAAGACCGTTCCCCTGAAAGCGCGTTTTGTTGGTTTCATGGAGCTCTCCGCTCAAACCGAGAGTATCATTGAAAACCTCACAAGGTTCAGCCACTCCGCGCGCGTCCTTTTGCTGCGCCAAGTGTGACCAAGGCGTGACGCCCGCCGCGAACCTGAAAGCTTAAAGTGGAGCTCAGGCAGTGTTCCTAATTTCATTGTTAACATCACTCCACCTAAAGCAGACGCACTTATCACTTGAGCGCCGAAAACTCTCGTGCAAAAAGCGGTACCACATCGGGTTCTCTAGCGATGCTGTCAGTTGTTTGCACATGGTTTGCTTTCGGTGGCTTCATTTCGCATAGAAATGCTTTCACGATGCTTTCGCGGCGGACTGTGCAAACCACACCCCTTCGTTGCGCATTGTGCAGGGTTTACCTTTAGGCACTTTCGCGATAAGCATTCGCAAGCTTTCGCGGCCTGCGTTTTGGCTTTCACGAGCTCAATATGACATGCCTGGGTATGTGGCGCTCGCTAGCGTGAACATATCGGAACTGGCCAAGATGCTGTCACCTTTGACCTCCAGCGCAAAGGTTGGTACTTGGAAAGGAGAAGGACATTGATCCATTCGTGCCGCTTGGGTGTCCTTCGGGTATTTTGTTCCTGAAGGCAAACTCAAGAGATTTCCGCAACTTTTGGATTGTCGCGGTCCCGCAACTTCAGCCCAACATCATCCCGTGGTGCTTTGTTCTTTTGGGGGGCGGGGCCGCCCAAGGTTTGCCAGGAGATCATATCAACTCAAGTTGATTATAAGTTGATTCTGGCTTCTTTTCTCCCCCTTTGCGGAAAAAACAAGCAAAACCAAAGGCTCTATAGAGTTGATTCCACTTTCTTCTTGACCATCCCAGGATTGAACGCACAAATTCCCCTAGAAGGAAGCCCTCCACCCGAGAAACTTCCTGGTTATCAGCAGGGCCCTTGAGCCATCCCCTCATGGCTTCCTTAAAGGGAATCTGCATCCTTAGGTTCATTCCAAAACCGATTCCCTACGGAAAACCAGCAAGCCACGGAACCCAACACTCACACAGCCCGCGATTTTGGGGGCCCCAGCGCCCAAGCTGGCCAGGCCGGACAGCATCTACACACGAGTTTCAGGGGATGTCGGTGGGAAAATAAGAGGCACCTTGTTTGGGCAATAAACTGATGCTAGAGGAAAACCCCTCCAAAAAATAAGGAACAACGCGCACCAGCGCAGGTCTGGAGCATTTTTAAGAGGTAACCGGAAAGCAACCAAGCCTTTGGAGGGTTGCCGATCTTTTTCTCTACATTGTGGACTTTCCTGCCATTTTGGCCGAAAATGCGTGCCCCCGATGTTGGGCACGCTTAAGAAACTTGGGGGTCGGCTCGCTCGGGCTTATCTCATGTTTGATGCCCCTACGAGGAAACTAGCGGGGACGGGGCGGGGGGGGGGGTTAGACCCTGGTTACAAAAAATCATCTGTCTCATGCAGATCCTGCATTTCCCAACAATGAATGCAATTTTACGTGGGGTCATGATTCATTAGAGCAACCTCGAACAACTTTGAGGAATCAACTGGAGACCACCTAAAACACACATTGGGGCGTCAAAGCAATGGGTAATTCGACGTATTCCCAACTCACGGCTCCCAACTCGAATTTATTGAGCTCCAATCGAATCGAATCCTTTTTGCGATGCCAGGCACAAACATTGCCAAATGCATGCGAGCAACGGTCAAACAGCGATCAAAGAAATCCTGGGAGGAACTACGACCCAAATGTTCTGCTGATGAACATGAACATGAGTTTCGAAAGTCTCTTTCTGCATGAGGAATACAACCACTATCACATCCTCATTTTGCTTCCGCAGGCCACATTGGATGTTCCATCGAGCAATGGCGACAACTGCAGGCTTCCTTCAGGAAAAAAAAATGTCCAGCAAACAGGCTGAGTCTTGGGCATACCATTTTGGGGACAAAGCCTTCTTGGACATCATTTAGGTGGAATTCATGTCCATCCAGCACTTGTGCGGGGTAAGAATCACAGCCATGTCGACCGCCGCACAGGCCCGGCCTGCGACGAACCCATACCTGTGCACGGATCCTTCAAGAACAAAAAACAAGAACCACTTAGAGGCGCCACAAAAAATGAGACCTTGCCCCTCCCGCTCCCCCGCTATTCAGCATGTGTATGCTCCTCTTGCTCCCCTCAGTGTTATTGGCGCTTCCCGTGCTTTGGCCAACTCCAATGGTTAAAAGGTCGGGTTTGCGCAGGCTTGCATACCTTGGACACACCTGGTCTTGCTTTTTCGGCCCCTTGCAACTCCATTCGCCTGTTGTTTTTTTCAACCCCCTATGAACCTTTGTAACCTTATATACCCTAGTATTGGTCCGTATCGCCTTTTTCCTGCCGTTGATGTGGTCACGTGACACGCGTTGGAAAAGCAAGCAGCAGGCAGCGGCGTGTTGAAGCAGGTTCGGTCATCATCAAGAGGAACTTGAGGAGTTGCTGTGCAGATAGCAAACCAGAGACACAGCGTGGCACTGGGCAGTTGGTTGGAATTGGCAGGTATGAGCATCAGCTAGATATCGACTGCCTATCGGTTTGAGTATTGGTTGGGACCCCGCAAGTTTCCCATTCCGGAACCTTGGCGTAGCCAACATTGCCTCGTATAGCTTCTCAACAACACAGGGTGTAGCTCACAAGAATCAAGACTATTCGAGCCAATTGTGTCTTCCTCACTTCTGGCAGATCGGTGTGTGTTCCTCAGCATCGGCTTAATCTCTTCCCCCAATTAATGAATGACCCCAATTAATAATAAATGCAAATCCGGGGCCCGGGGCCAGATTTCCACTCCACACAATTGATTTTCCATTGCGCCAATACTAAACCAATACTAACGTCTTGGAATCCTTATTAGGGGGCACTTTTGGCAAGCTTCCAGCCTCACTTTTCAACAGGTGGGTTCCTCAATTCCCCAAAAGGTTGCTTTCCCAAAAGCTGGCTTCTCAAAAGGTTGGGTTCTTTTGGTGGGTTCCCAAAAAGGTTGTTCTTGACTCTGTTGGAAAAGCAAAAAAAAACCAACCCCAAAAACCCCAATTAAAAAAAATATATATTTTTTTGGGGGGATTTATTTATAATAGGGGGGGGGGCGTATTTATTAATAGGGGGAAGAGATTACGATGGTCCTTTGATTTAGATTCTTGCTCGTTGTGGTGAAACGGCTATCCATGAAAGCTCTTTTGCTCGTCTCTGAAAGACAGCAACTCACAATTGAAGCCTCTGAGGGGGGGGACATAGCCATGCCGCAATGCATGTCTCGACCGAAGGCTCGAAGCCATCCGTCACTTTCCTCAGGGTGGGTCCCATTTTGCATGTTTTCCCCTCTAGCTGATTTAGGGGCATTCAATAGGGGGAACCTTCACTTTGGTGAAACTCCCCTGAACACTCCCCCAGGTTCTGCTTGAATTCTGTAAGGAGTCCATGATCACGGGCAAGCTTGTTTCATCCAGCGAACTTATCTTAGCATCGGCGTGTCTTTTTTAAGGGTACCTTTCTTAAGCTTCTTCTAAAAGAAAGCCAAAGAGAATCCCCATGTTTTTGGATTTCCCTTTTGTTTTCGCTTTCAAACACGAGCCACCCATACGTCTTTTTCTTGAGGATTCCGGTCGCCAACCGTTGGGGGTCCCCCATTTTAAGACATACCCACAGACCGCCCACGCAAGGCCTCGGCACAGCTCACGAAGTGCCGGGCGGAAGGCGCTTCGCCAGAAGCGGCCTAGCGCCCCATCGCTGCGAAGGCGCAAGGCAACTTCTCTTAAGTTGTTTGTTTTTTTTCTTCTTTTTTTTCAGTATTGAACCGTGTGGACATGGCTCCTGCATGCCCCCAATCAATCCCCCTGAGCTTTGCCATTGGTGCCGTAAAGCCTATTACGCAGGGATTCTCTAAGGCCGCGCAGCTGTTGGGCATAGAAGACAACTCCATCCCCCTCTGAATGGCTGAAGCTGAACACCGCTTGGCCATTCGAGCCACTCTGACCTCTTCGTGGTTTAGGTGAATGGCCAAGCTCTCCGCGCGATGCGCGCCTTGCAGCATCCTGCTCTCCGTGATCTCTGCTGCCTCGAAATGCATACCGGCTGTGCTCCTTCTCTGGGAGGTACCATAGCACTCCCAGGCCCACTT